AAAATATACTAAAGGATGCAAGGAAACGGATAATAAAATAGTAAGTAAAAGAAGATGACCGCAAAAGGGAGTAAAAAATGAGGTATAATGAATGGCAACTAGAGATAAATTAAAAAAAAAGCACACCCAAGTAATATATTTAGTTAGTGTAAAGATACGTAAAGTACTTAAAAATAAGGGTGGGGGGGGGGCGCGCTTCGCTCGCGCGGGAGACGCAGACGGCGCGTTTAGCCGCGCGAACAGGGCCGTCCACAACGCTTGGCCACTCAGGTGGCCATGCTCTCTGGCGGGCTCGCGAGCGGCGCGCACGACCGCGCGGTACAAGCCGGCGCGCGGCGGGCGCTGGGAGCCTATTCACAGGCGAGGGCTCAACGGGTATTTTTCGCTTCGCTGCGCGGCCCCGCAATAGGTAGGTAGGTGGGGCACGGAGCCTGGCGGTTGGCGCCCGCAATAGGGGTAGGCAGGTAGGGCGAAGAGATTGGACGGACGGAAAAACACCCCCCTTCTATGCCTGACCCTGGGCATGCCTCTCTGGGTGTGAGCTGGGTCGGCCACCTCCGGGTCTGCAACTCGCACGGTGGGTCCGCTTCCGGGCGAGCATCCGAGGCCTGCGGTTGTCCCTTCGCTGGGCGCGACCGCCATGGAGATCCGCTACACACAGATCAGTGTTTTTGGCGACTATTGCTCGCTCTCTGTGCAACCACCGTCGGTCGAGCCTGGTCGGTTTTCAGTGACCGACCTGATGGCGCGCGAGCGGAAGCCAAGTGCGAAGGCGCTCGAGGCGGCGCAGAACGCGCAGGAGCAGGAAGACGAGCCCGACGAGCCCAAGGTGCGCGGCCCCAAGGGTAAGAAACGGGTCGCGGCCGAAGCAGACGAGTATCAGCCGGAGGAGGAGTCCGCGAAGGATGACGACGAGTATCATCCGGAGGCCGCGAGCAAGAAGACGACGAAAAAGAAGGCGCCCGCGCCAGCTGCTGCTGCGACGCGCCCCGAGCTCCCTCGTGACTTTTGCGGCTTCTCGATCGAGTACGCGACCACCGGCCGTGCGGCGTGCAAGGAGTTCCGATGTGCCCGCAACATCAAGCTGGGCGAGCTGCGCATCGCCTCGCACTACGATGGTGGAGAAGGGTTCCAGAGGAACTGGTACTGCTTCGCGCCGAAGTGCGGCGGCGAGGCGTGCCTGTGGAAGGTGCTCAAGTTCCGCAAGGGCGCGGGCGATCCGCGCTATGGCGCGACCAGCGCGAAGCTGCAGGCGCAGTGGCGCGGCGGCGTCGGACTGCCCGGGCTGAGCCTCCTTTGCGAGGAGGACCGCGCGATGGTCGTCGCGCTGCTCGACAGCACGGCCGCGCCGCCGCCGCCGATGGTCGCCTCGACCGTGGGCAAGTCCGTCACGATCTCTGCGGCGCCCGCGCCGCGGCCGGGGGACGTGGTGCGCGTCGGGGGGTCCACCTTCGAGGCGAAGGACGCGCTCAAGGCGAAGCTCGGCGCGCGCTGGCACGGCACGGCGAAGGAGTGGATGATTGAGGACGCGGACGCGCTCTGCGGCGTGTGCGGCGCGAGTGCGCAGGCGCTTCCCATCACGGTACAGCTCGACGTGCTGCTGGCCGCGCTCGCGACGCTCCCGGACAAGAACCCCGCGAGCGCTCCCGCGGGCGGGTCCGCGGCGGCCTCGCAGGTCGCCGACGACTAAACTTCATCGACATGAATTCCTTGCAGCCGGCTCTCGCGGGCACACACAGGCAGGACACGGGCACGGACGGGGCATCAGGTACAAACGCGTTCATGCCGCCGCGCGAACGGCGGTCCGGTGGCGGCGGCGGCGGTCTCTGTTGTTCCCGGGCATGTTCTCATTCTCTCAGCGCCCATTTGAGCAATCCGTGTCCCCTGGTGTGCCTGGACACGCCACACGGACACGCGTCCCGCGATGCCCGATGCATGTGTGATTCATTATGTGTGTGAGTGTGCAGTGTGTGTGTCGATACGCGGTGTAAATATGAATGTCCAATGTGTACTCTGTACAGTATGTGTTGTACGTAGATCGTAGACGTTGTGTACGTTGCATAATTTGGCGGCTGTCACTGCGGAGTACACTGGTCACTGACACATTAAAAGGCGCACACAACATGAAGTATCTCTACACATTGTCATTGTGAACGCCCCTCTCTCTTGGCACTTGGGGTGAGACGGAGGTGCGCCGTCTCCCGCCTCTCTCCTGGGCGGCTTATACACGGCCTCGCGCCAGCCCTTGTGCCTCTCACATCAGCTGGCTATCGCCCTCGGATGGCCTCGATCCGCCGCCCAGCCATCCCTGCTCTTCTCGGCTCGGCCGCGAAAGCCGCTGACACGCGCCACAGCGGCCCCAGAAAGCTTCAAAAGTCCTCGTCGAGGGTGAGAGAGCCAATCGGAGGCAGCGCCGGGGCCGCGGCGGCGGGCGGCTTCGCCTTGCCTCCCGGGGATGAGGCGGCGGATTCGAGCGAAGCGACGACCGAGTCGGGCGAGGCGGGCGAGGCGGCGTCGGCTGCCGCTGAGCTGAAGATGGCCACCCAGTCGGCCGCCTTGGGGCTGCCCTTGTACAGGACGGCCTGGCGAGGGCGATGCGGAGGGTGAGACAGGTGAGAGGAGCGGACAGGCTGCGCCGCGGAGAGGGCGAGGTGCGGCTCCCGCCCCGTCAGCGGCAAAGGCGACGCAGAACGGCACCGCCGAGAAGCCAAATTCGGCCTTAGCGACCTCCTTCTCGTCGGTGCTCATGAAGAGGTGGGTGAGATGCTCCCACTCGTCGTCCACCAGCTCCGCCGTCTGCTCGAACGAGCCCTCGCCCAGCGAGAGGGCGCATGCCGCAAAGGCGACGCCGGGCAGCTTTCCGCTCGCCGCGAGCGCGTCGAGCTTCGTGAGCGCCTCGGGGCAGTTACCGCAGCGCGTGTGCCAAAAGTCGAGCACGAGCGGCCGGTCCGCGCGGATCTCGGCGAGCGTGCTCGCCTCTCCCGACTCGAGCAGCCGAAGGGACTGCCGGGACTCGTAGGACATGGCTGTTTTTTGCGCGGGGAAACAGTGCCAAAATAAAAAAAGTAGGCACACGCGCATGCACAGACACACAGCCCCTTCCCCTTCCCCCTCAAGACCGCAAGGGCGAGGACACGCGAGATTGTTGACACGCGTAGGCCGCACCTCTAGCGAAGCCCACAGAGATCAGAGTGGGAGACTCCTATCACCGCCCCTGCCACCCACACACTAATGTGCACGGCGTGAGCCTTGGCCGCCTCTGTCAGTGTGCCCGTGATAGTGAGAGACTGCCAGTGAGAAGCCGGAGGAAGGTCGCTAGTCGAGAGAGATCGCCAGTGGAATAGGGAGTCCACCGTGCTGCGAACCTGTCGCTGTCCATTTTGTCAGTACACAGTAGCAGGAGAACTAGGAGAGCGCAACCAGTAGGAGGCCCGCGCCTGCCCCCGTGCCGCCGGGTGCACCTTGTCCTACACGAGAGGGGAATCCCTGTGGGACCCTGTCGTGTGGGTGAACCCTGCCCAGCCCCCCTCCGTGTCGCGATGCGCTCCCCGCTCCCGTTCCCCTGTGTCCCTGATCGTCCTTCCAAGATCCTGCTCGTGCAGGTGGGGACCCTGTCCTTCTCCCACCCCTTGTTTGGTGTGTCCGTTTCATTTATTTATTTATACTCCCCAAATGGGTGATCTGGTGCTTGTAGGGCTTGAGAGTGGCCTGCCATGTCAAAGGAAGGACTGTGGTTGCAGGAGAGTACCACCAACCATCACTTTAGAAACAAGCTCTGGACGCCCCTCCTCAAGACCTCCTCGACGGGCGTTGGCAACGCCTCGAGTGGCGGCACGCCCGCCTCCGTCGGCCACTCCTACGCCTTTGGCAACACCGAGGAGAAGGCCCGCCGCCTGAACATGGGCTGCAAGGCGTGCGGGCAGCCCAGCCAACCCTTCTCCCACAAGACCGGCCACGGCTACGTCAAGGCGCATCGCGGTTTCTACCACGACGCGATCTTTGTCAAGCGCAACAACTTCAACCTGCTGCTCCACGAGACGTTCGGCGGCGGCTTCTCGCCCACCGCCGTTCTCAAGCTGCGCCGCCTCGCGCGCAAAGTCGCGCGCGGCAGCGTTGACCGCACAGCCTACTCGCCCAAGTACTCGCTCTCTTTTATGTCCCACCATGCAGAGCGCATCTCTCTCTCTGTTGTGCGAGGCGTGAACCGCGCCATTCGCTCTCACCTGGCAACCCTGTCTGCACGTCTCGCGCGCGCGTGAACAGGGCTCCAGGCCCCAAATTACGTGTGAGTGTTAGAGTTGTTTGGTATTGCTAAAAATCTCTCTCTCACTTTAGTTGGTACAGTACCTCACCTTCACCCATCCAGTGATTTCTAGGTAGGTAGGGGCAGGGCAGGGGCCGGCCAGGTTTTTGCAGAATTTCAGCATGCTGTCCGCCCAAGCAAAAATAAATACACGGGGGGGGTCGAAAAGAATTTTTGGTGCATTTATTTTAAGCGGTGAAAGGCGGCGTACGAGTCGCCGCCGCGGGCGGAAGAAGCTCCTCCTTTTTCCGACCTAGACTGCTGCCGCTTGCTCCTCCCGCTCCTCCCTGTGCCTGCCACCTGCCGCCGCTGCAACTGATTCTCTGCGAAGCCATGCACCCTTGGGACCGCGCGCAAATCGCGCATTGGCTCGTGGAGACGTGCTGCGTGAGCGTAGAGGACGCGTCGGCCTACGCCGACGCTCTCGTCTCCGCCGGCTTCGACTCGCCGCTCGCGCTGAGCGTGGCGCATGGCGCCGACTGGCCAGCAGTCGTCCGGCTCGGCCACCAGCGCGTTATCCAGCACATGGCCGGCCAGCATCTGCCGACTCCGCTGCCACCTCCACCTTCGCCACCGCCTTCGCCGCCGATGCCCAAGCTTCCGCTCACTACCGGCATCGTTGCCGCCGTTGGCGAGAAGGCGACAGAAGGAGCTTGGGATCTCGGCCGCCGCTTCCGACCGCGGCAGAAGCTGTCTGCGCCCGCCTACACCGCCGCCGGCCTGTGCCGTGTGGTGCGTGTGCGAGCCGTGGTTGAGCGGCTGCTGAACATAGACTTGAAGGGCATGACCTTCACCGCCAATCTCAAGTACGAGGCGAGCTGGACGGACGGCGACATCCTGCCGATGCTGCGAAAGCTGCAGCCCGAGGACGACCCGCTGCATAAGACGCGTGCGAGCGGGGAGTCGGAGGCGGACAGGGCGGAGAGGCAGCAGCGGCAGGAGAAGCGGCTGAACGACCTGCTCGACGACAAAAAGTCTGGGCAGAAGGACCTATACTTCACCGGCCTGGACGGGGAGAGGTTCTTCGCGCCGCGCCTCTACTTTCGCAACCTCGCCGAGTCCGGCGAGACCGAGACTTGGCTCAAGATCTACCTCGACCCGTCCTGCGACGACTCGGTGGTGGTCTGCCTCTCGAGCAAGTGCACCGGCACCTTCCAGGAGCAGTTCGAGCTCGAGCACTTTCCCTTCGACGAGCAGGACCTCACGATGGAGATGGCGTCGGAGCACGCTCGAGAGGACGGCTCCGGCTTTTCCGTCCAGCTGGAGCGCAACGACAACGACATGTACCGCTCCTTTGTCATCACGCGCGGGTTCCTCCAGTCGAGCTCGTACACCCTGAAAGAGCGGCTGCGCTTCACGCGCGATACCACTCTGCCCAGCGAGTCCAACTCGGGCAAGACGTACCCGCTGCTGCAGATCGGGATGCGCGTACGGCGGCACTCGTTCTTCTGGATCTTCTCGGTGGTGGTGCCCCTCTTTTTCCTCACCACGGCACTCGCCACCTCCTTCGTCGTGAACGAGGACGAGTTTGCTGACCGCGCCTCCATCACCCTCACCGCGCTCTTAGCGATCGTCGCCTTTCAGCCGGTCATCGCCGACCGGCTGCCCGACGACTGCAACACGATGACCCTCGTGGACCTCTACGTGTTCATCTGCTTCGCCTTCGCCTTCATCCTCATCATGGTGCAGTCGGTCAATGCCATGTACGTCAACTCGTCGGACACAGACCTTCTCGAGCCAACCTATGCCGAGGAGATCGGCGGTAAGCCGTACCGCATCTCGTCGCCGTTCGTGGTGACCATCTGCGTGTGGGTCGGCTTCCACCTCTTCATCGGGCTCTACGTCTACATGATTATCAAGTGGAGGCGATCTCGCTCCAGGTTTTGGAAGTCGCAGAACAACGTGCTCTGGCTGGGCCCGCTCAACGCGGACCTGATCGGGCCGCGGGGCGAGAGGACGAGTTCGGACAAGGACGAGAGGAAGAAGAAGGTCGAGCAAATCATCTGCAGCAGGCTGCGCGAGCTGCCCGCCCTCCGGGCGCAAGGACACCACGTCAAGGGCGCCAGCCTCTGGAACATCGAGGACGCGCAGGAGCAGCTGCGGCAGGAGCACGACAAGAACGAGCGGCTGCACTTGCGGCTGTTGGACTGCCTGCTCCGATTGGACGGCACTTTGGCCCGACTGCTGAGTCCGACGGCGCCAAAGCCGTCGAGCACGTGCGCCCTCGTCGTGATGGATACAGCCCGCGGCGCGGAGGCGCTCCTCGACCTTGTCAAGGAGGAGCCGGAGCGGTGGAGCGCCTTTGTGGAGGAGGTCGAGATGGAGGTGGCCCTGGCGACGGCGCCGGACGAGCGCGCCAAGGCGCTGCTGACTGAGCTCTTCGCCTCGCACGACCATGATTGGACCATCCCCGACAAGGTGAAGGAGACGCTGGAGAAGCTCCGCGTCTCGCGCAGCGTCGCACCGCGACTGGAGCGGCTCAAGAGTCTTGAAGTGAGCGAGGAGCAGCCGCCGTCCGGCACAGAGAGCCGCCCTCCATTGGTCAAGAGGGCGAGCGATGGGTCCCTGCTCTCTCTGTCCTCCCGCCACTTCAAGCCCGCCACGGGCCGGGTGCGGCTCGAGGCCCTCAACCCGAGCTGGATCTCTCTGCTCGACGAGTTCCGCCCGCTCCCGCCGCGGCGCGAGCCGCTCTTGTCTCTCGGCCCGTTGGCGTCGAGTAAGCTGTGCAGTGCCGACCTCGACATAGTGTGGCCCAGCGGCGGAGTCGGCGCGAGGCCGGCGTATTTGGAGTTCTCCGAGGTTGCAGCAGTCACGATCCCGCGCGCGAGCCGGGCAGCGAACCAGATTCCGGAGGAGGCAACGCATTTTGCGTACGTATCGATCACATCTGCAATGCTTGCGGCGGGCGAGGAGGCGAGACAGCCGCGGCTGATCCTCCCTCACGGCGGCTTTGCGTATTGGAGCCAGCAGCCTTACGAGCAGGGTGAGGCCGAGGACTCTCAGCGCAAGATCTGCCGGCCGGCTCTGGTCACGCGGATCACAGAGGGGCCGGGCATGTCCTTCCACCGCAGGGTGCTGACCAAAGAGGAGCACGGCGCGCTCAAGGACTACCAGCTCCTGCCGGTCACGCTGCCCTCCCTCCGCCAGATCAAGGTGCGTCGCTTCTGCTGGATACCGCCCACATGCCCGCGGGCCGGCAAGACGGACTGCCACTGCGTGCGGCAGCTCGAGTTGGGCTCGGCCCTCATCTGCCCGCACGGCGGTTTTGCATACACCTACTCAGATGACGATAACAAGCACACGAGAAAGTTCGACTGCGTGATGAGGCTGAAGCTGCCGTCGCAGGACTTGCCCCCAGCCCGTTCCGAGTGTATTTCCCGGCCGCATCAGATTGATGCGGCACTGAGCCGTGTCAGTGTTAGAGCGGACTGACGTATCACCCGCAAAGCGAAGTCGGGAGCCGGCCGAGATCGTGTTGGAGGCTGCGCTGCGCAAGCACACGGGCGGGAGGGCTTCTACAGCGGAGGTCCTGCATGCGCAGGGCTCCTCAATTCTCCGTTACCGCTGGGCGAGGTGTCCAGGAGAGTAGCTCTCTCCGCTGTCGTGTCGCCAATCGCACCGTCATCGCATACACACATGCACATGCAGCAAACAGATAGAGAAACGAACAACATGCAAATATGAAATAAGCACATGGTTTTGCAGTGCCTCTTCGTTTGTTGTGAACGAATTATCTCACCCGTGGCGTAACAGCTGATGGCCATGGGCTGATGTGACAATGACGCATGTCAGCTGCGGTCGATGCTGAAGCAGCGCGAGAAGTGGACGACGTTGAGGCGTTGGTCCTTGATGTGCGCCTCCATCATCGGCTCCGAGGATGCGTGCCCGAGCCTGGCCGTCATCTCCTCGTACCTACGGTGGAGCGGTGGTCGCGCACACGTCACGGATGCGTCCTGCGCAACAGTCCAAGCCGCCACTTCGCGAGAGCGCCGCTGCGCGAGGGTGCAGATTGTGGCCATCGTGGCGGCGTCGCCGTAAAAGTAGGCGTCCGACCCCCACAGGTAGTCCTGCAGCGCCAGGTACGGCGAGCCGCCGCCGCACGCCTCGAGCGGCCGCGGGATGCACGACGGCCGCAGGTCGGGCCGGCCGCGGATCACATAGTCGGGTGCCGCCGCGCCGAGCGAGCGCACCATCAGCTCGTGGCAGCGCTGCAGCATCGCCCACTGGTTGTAGAAGCGGCCGTCGTGCCCCTCGGCGTCCTCGCTCACCCACAGGCGCAAGTCGGCCAGCTCGATGACCGCGCCGTCGGGGTAGCAACGCGCGAGTCGCTCCGTGTCCAGCGGCTCCTGCGCCGGAGGGGGAGGGTGGACGGATGCATGGGCGGCAAGTGCAGCGGCGGATAGGATGGGCGACGGCCACGTGGCGTCTTGCTCGTGTGTCGCAGCGTGTTGCCTCCGCGCAGCGGTCCGCCTCTTGCGAAAAGTTGTTGCCCACCGCGCCGCGAATCGGCCAGACGTGCAGGAAGGCGCGCAGGTCGTAAGCGTCGGCGTAGCGCGCGAAGAAGTGTCTCCAGTGGGCCCCGTGGGCGTACGAGCGCACCAGCCCCGGCAGCAGCACCGCGACGAGCGGCCGCCGCCGCGGCTCAGCACGTCCCCCTCCCGCTCCCTCGCCCGCTCCCTCGCCCCCTCCCCCTCCCTCGCCCCCCCTTTCGCAAGGGTTGTCGTGCAGCCAGAGCTCGGCAGGGGAGTGCGGCCAGCGGGGCGCCCGCGTGAGTCGGTTCGAGTTGAGCCTGGGGTGCGAACAGCGTCGCCTCACGCCCTCTACTACGGCGGGCTGCGCGAGCGGCTCGCGTCGAACCGGAGGCAGCGCAGGCGCGGCGGCAGGGCGGGCGGCGCCTCCTCGAGCCGGTTGGCGGAGAGGCCGAGCTCCTACCCTCAATCTCGAAGCCGTCTCGAGGCCGTTGGCGAGGCCGTTGGCGAGGCCATTGGCGGGGAGGGGAGCGCCTCGCACGCGGCCAGCGCGTGCAGCCGCGCCGGCAGGCTGGCGAGCTGGTTGTCGTCGAGCAGGAGGTGGACGAGGGCCGCGCAGTCGCAGAGCCCGTCGGGCAGCGATGCGAGCCGGTTCGACGAGAGGCCTGCATGGAGACTGGCCCGAGAGGGCTCAGGGAAGGGTCTCGGGCAGAGGGTGCGAGCCGGTTCGGGGAGAGGCCGAGCGTGTGCAGGCCGCTCAGCAGGCCGACCGACGCGGGCAAGCAGTCGAGCAAGTTGCCTCCCGCCCACACCTCCGCCAGCAGCGACGCGTCGCCCAGCCGCTCCGGCAGCCGCGTCAGCCGGTTGCCGTCGACGCGCAGCGCCTGCAGCGCGCGCAGCCTGCCCAGCCCCTCGGGCAGGGCGGCGAGGCGGCAGTCCGAGGCGCGGAGCGAGCGGAGGCAGGCAAGGTCGCAGAGCGAGTCGGGGAGCGACTGCAGCTTCGAGCCCGAGACCTCGAGCTGCAGGAGGGTCGAGAGGGAGCCTGCAGCCGCGGCGGAGGCGAGGAGTGGACGGCACGTCCCCCTCTCCTCGACCAAGAGCGCGAGCGCGTGGCGCGCCCGCCTCCGCCGGCAGGGCGGTGAACTTTGCTTGAGCGAGGACGAGGGAGCGGAGCCGCGGCAAGCGGCACGCGGCGGGCGGAAGCGAGAGGAGGACGTTTTGCGCGAGGCCGAGGTCCTCCAGCTCGAGGCATGCTCCTGGAGGAGAGGCGCTCGAGATGGACGCACGCGCCGGTGGACGAGGGGAGGCGGAGAGGCGGATGATCTCGGCCACTCTCGGCCACTCTAGAGCCGTCGCGCCGAGGGAGGAGGGCAGGAGCGAGAGGCGGTTCTCCCCCAGCTGGAGGGTCCTCAGCTGGGTGAGGCCGGACAGGTCGGCGGGGAGGGAGGCGATGCGGTTGGCGCCGAGGCCGAGCGTCACCAGCTGGCCGAGCCGAGCGAAGGAGGCGGGGAGGGCGGTGAGGCGGTTCCCGTTGAGGTTGAGCGTCACGAGCCTAGGTAGGGGTGGTGAAGAGACACTGTTCTCTGAGGCTGAGCATCGCACGAGAGAGAGAGAGAGAGAGAGAGAGAGAGAGAGAGAGAGAGAGAGAGAGAGAGAGAGAGAGAGAGGAAGAGAGAGAGAGAGGAAGAGAGAGAGAGAGAGAGAGAGAGAGAGAGAGAGAGAGAGAGAGAGAGAGAGAGAGAGGAAGAGAGAGAGAGAGAGAGAGAGAGAGCCTGCGCAGCTGTCCGATGTCTTCCGGGAGAGTCGCCATGCGGTTGTCGGAGAGAGAGAGCGAAGAGAGGGAACCCCCGAGGCCGGCGCACAGCCCGTCGGGCAGGCCCGTCAGCGCGTTGTTGGTGGCGGCGACCGTGACCAGAGGGCAGCGGCCGACCGCTGCGGGCAGCGCTCGCAAGTCGTTCCGCGAGACGTAGAGCTCTGTGAGTGAGGCGCAGCCGCCGAGGCTATCGGGAAGCGCCGTGAGCCGGTTGTCCGATAGCCTCAGCGTGCGCAGCGCGCTGCACTGGCCGATCGACGGCGGCAAAGCCGCGAGCGTGTTTCCGCTGAGACCGAGGATCGCAAGCCGGTTGCAGAGGCCGATCTCCTCGGGCAGCGCGGCGATGTGGTTGGAGCCGGCCGCCAGCTCGGTGAGCGAGCCCGTCTCAAAGACAGGCGGTGGAAGCGACCGCAGGGCGTTGCCGGAGAGGCGGAGCATCTGCAAGCGATCGAGCCGGCCGTCGGCGAGGAACGGAGGGAGCTCGGTGAGGCCACGGCCGCTGCAGTCGAGCGCCGTGACGTTGCCGTCACCGTCTTGCTGGAGACCTCCGGGCATAGCGGTAGAGGAGGAGGAAGTAGGACGGCACTGTCCGCCGGCTCAGCCACGGCAAGAGCACCACGGCGCGATACCTGGTAGCCCCTCGTCGAGGATGTTGCGTGGTGTGGTGGTGGGGCGTGGGCGGGGGGGGGGGGGGGCGCTGCTGTTAGATCTACCTCGTGTGTGTGTGTGTGTGTGTGTGTGTGTGTGTGTGTGTGTGTGTGTGTGTGTGTGTGTGTGTGTGTGTGTGTGTGTGTGTGTGTGTGTGTGTGTGTGTGTGTGCTTATGCTCTGGCGAGATGTGAGGTGCATGCGCCCAGGAGGTGAGGGCGCATGCGTAACGACGCTGCTAGAGATGCCTCTCGGGGCCCAGAGATAAAACTTCTGTGATGCCATGCATGACCTAGTAGTGTCCCCAGCTATGGGCGTGTCCACGTTGGAGCCAGGTGTGGTGTGGGCGCGAGAATAGCTCCGCCGTTCATGGAGGCAACCGATACGAGTCGACTGGTGTGTGTCGTCGTGGTTTCGTATCAAGAATTACTCACTCACTCACATCTACATCTACCTCCGGTCCACACGGGTACTCCCGTGCTAGGACAAGAAGGCCCCACTGCGGCGCCGGGCTCGGAATGGCGGCCGAGAAGCACCCGCTCGATGACGTGGCAAAGGGCAAGGTTGAGCTGCCAAAGGCAGGCGCCGGGCTGGTGATCGTCGTCACTAGCGTCTACAACGGCCGCCCTCCGGAGAACGCGATCAAGTTCGACGAATGGCTCGAGACACCGGCCGCTGAGGCTGCGCTCGCCGGTGTGCGATATGGCGTCTTTGGGTGCGGCAACAAGCAGTGGGCGGCGACTTTCATGAAGTTCCCCGCGCGCGTGCACGAGCGATTTGAGGCGCTTGGCGTCTGCCACTCTTCCTACGCGCGGCAATCGCGTTTCTTGACGCGGCTACTTGCGAACAGGCGCTCGGCGGGCTGCCACTGGTGCCGATGGGAGAGGGGGACATGGATGGCGGCGAGGTGGAGTTCAATTACACGCGCTGGCAGGTCTCGGCGGTGGTGTCGCTGCTGCAGGCGTACGGCGCGCCGATCCCAGACGCGATCAAGGATTCCATGTGACATCCGCGGCAGCCGTGGAGGGTCGCCTGTCCAGGACACGGGCATGACCCGACCGAATCACGTCCGGCAGGTATCCGCAGCTGCCAGAGTATGATATGATGCTATACCTCGGCAAGAAGGTTGAGCGATGCCCACGGGGGACGGACATTGTGAGCCGCGTCGCTTCACGAGCACTGCCGTGAATAGGCGGAGGAGATCCCGCGGGAAGTTGTGCTGCAAAACGTGAAGACTGCGGAGAAGCGCGCGCGCTCCAAGTTCCTCGCCGACAGCAAAGCTTTTTTCGCCGAGGTTTCAGACACTCCAGATACTGTGATCACTGCAACATAGACAGCACGCGGCGGTGTCTCAGCTGCTAGCACACTGGTTCGTCAGGTCGCCGTCAATCGCGAGCTGGTGGCGAGCCGCGAGTCGGCGAGCGCCGCCGGCCGATCGACCCGCCATGTCGAGGTACGTGGCCGAGCGCCTCCGGCGGCTCGCCGAGCGACGGGGACACGCTTGGTTGACTCATTAGTCGAGGGTGGTAGGTCGACCTGCCCGAAGGCATCACCTACACCGCTGGAGACCACCTCGGCATCGTTGGGGCCAACCCTGACGCGGCCAGCCTCGCAGATCTCGACCGCCGGCGGGCTCCCCTTCATGTGTACGCCGACGCGTCCGATGCGTCGAATAGGTCGTTTTTGCGCACCTCGATCGGCTCGGGCTCCCGCGGGACGGCGTTGTGAGGCTTGAGCACGCGGCGGGCCAGGATCAGTCACACTTGCCTCTCGGCCGCCCCCTCCCCATCTTCAACGTCCTCGCATTCTACTTCGAGCTGCAGCAGCCGGCAACGCGCTCGCAACTCCACGCGCTCGTCAAGCACGCCTCCAAGGAGTCGGAGGCGGCGCACCTGTCAAAGCTCGCCGAGTTTGGCGCGGACAACACCGGCGAGGTGTCCGAGGACCGGGCAACCCTCTATGAGCAGTATATCCTCGCGGAGAGGCGTCGCACCCCTGCAAGCGAGAATGGCTAGCCCGGACAACACGTCTTAGGCCATTGTCGCTCGCGAGTAGGCGCACGCTGCTCGAGGTGTTGCAAGAGCACCCGTCGGTGAGCGTGCCCGCGGGGACCTTCATCGGCATGCTCCCGCCGATGAAGCCGCGCTACTACTCCATCTCCTCGTCGCCCAAGCACTTGCCGGGCAAGTGCAGTATCTCCGTCTCCGTCGTGCAAGGTCGCAGCCCGACGGGCAGGCAGCACTTGGGCGTCTGCTCCAACTATCTCAAGGCTCAGACCCTCAAGAAGCCCTACCCGACCTCTGTCTACCCCTCAAACAACCTTGGCCCCGAGGGCTACGGCATGCCGACTGTGGCCTTCGTCAAGGACACGGGCTCTTCCTTCCGGCTGCCCGCCGGCGATGCTCCCATCATCATGGTCGGACCAGGCACCGGCGTCGCGCCAATGCGCGGCTTCATCCAGGACCGCGTTGCCGACGGCAAGACGGAGAACGTGCTATTTTTCGGCTGCCGCGACGAGTCCGACTTCATCTATAAGGAGGAGCTGCAGGCGTGGGAGGCGGCGGGCTCGCTCAAGCTCTTCGTTGCCTTCTCGCGCAAGCCGGGCACGCCAAAGACGTATGTGCAGCACCTCGTCGCGCAGGAAAAGGCGCTGATGACGGAGCTAATCAAGAAGGGCGCGCATGTCTATGTGTGCGGCGACGCCTCGAAGATGGCGCCCGACGTGCGCGCGACCCTCTCGCGCGTGCTAGTGGACGCCGGCCTCGACGATGGCTTCGAGGGCGGTCCGGTCGAGAAGCTGCGCGCCGCAGGCCGGTATTGCGAGGACGTCTGGGCCGCTCAGTCAGTGTAGGGAGCGCAGAGGCGCGAGCCACGATGCGTGCGCACGCGTCGCCCAGGTCTGCGATGCTTGCTTGAGCGGCGCCAGCGCCAACTTGCGGAAAGGATAGGCAGCAAATGGGAAGGGCGCCACGAGCGGCAGGGAGCGAGTAAGTATAGTGGCACAGGGGAGAGCCTCGAGAGCCAGCGAGGCAGAGCCAGAGGGAGTGCAAGACCAAGTGCGAAGTGGGGCAGGGTCTTGTGGACCATTCGGCACTCATTTTTTGACTGTTTTTGACACCTCGAAGAGATTTTCACATAAACAAGTACAACAGTTCCACATATCACACATATGGGGGTTTATCCGACATGGCACGACGCTGTGGCACGCAGGCTCGGGACTCAGTCTTGCGCTCGGCTCCCGGCTGAGCTGTCTACGGGCGCCACGCGCTCCCCTGACCGCTCTCTGTTTGCTGTGCTGCGTTCCCGATTCACGCCGCCTCCCGTCGTACTCTCGCCTCCGCCGTCGCATTGGCAGGCACAGTCAAGAAGGCCGCACCAAGGCCGCCCTCTATTGGGGCGGCACTGGCGCCCCCGTTGTTGTCCTCCTCCCGAGCCGTCGCCGCGCCTTCCATCGCGATGCCGCGCCGGTCCTCCACAAAGCCATAGGTGAGCGCAAAGCCGGCGAGCGAGACGGCGGCGCACGCGAGCATCGTCCAGCGCAGGCCGGCCGCCGGCCCCCACGCCGCAGAGATGCCGTCCTTCATCGGCTTGAAGGCGGAGGAGCCGAGCGTCGCACCGAGCTTGCCCATGGCGGCCGAGAAGCCGTTGAGGGTCGTCCGCACCTCGGGCGGGAAGGTCTCGGACGGCAGGATGAAGGTGGTCGAGTTGGGGCCAAAGTTGGAGAAGAAGAAGGTGAGCCCGTACAGGAGCAGCATGGCGACGCGGCCGCCCGCGCCCGCGCTCTCGAGGCTGTCGTACGCAAGGCCGAGCGCGGCAAAGGCGGCGGCCATGCAGGCGAAACCTTGCAGCTGGATGCGGCGACGGCCGACCCGGTCCATCAGCCAGACGGAGACGTAGTAGCCGGGGAGGCCAATCGCCGCCACCACCGCCATCTGCGCGCAGAGGTTGTGCGCGAGGTCGCCCTGCAGCGGCGGCGCGTCGCCGGCCGCCGCCTGGACAGCGCGGGATCCGGACGAGGTGAGCCGAGATGCGCCGAGATGCGCCGAGATGCGCCGAGATGCGCCGAGATGCGCCGAGATGCGCCGAGATGCGCCGCCTGGTCGACGTGGAAGACGGAGGAGAGGACGGTCGGCTGGAAGAGCGAGTTGCCGTAAAAGGTGATGTCGAAGAGGAACCAGCCGCCCGCGGTGCCGAGGAGCTTGGACCAGTACTTTCGCTGGCGCAGCGTCGACAGCAAGGTGGAGGAGGGGCCCGCCGGCCGCCCCGCCTCGGCGCGCAGGGCTGCGATGGGCGCCGACATCCGCTCGTCGGCGGTGTGCCGCGCGCCTCCGCCCTGCCCGCCCCGCCCCTCGCCCATGCACGGGACGAGGAGGAGGCCGGGGAGGGCGCCGAGGGCGAGGGCGAGCCTCCAGGCGAGGCCTGGATCTGCGCCGCCCGAGCCGGTGGCGGGGACGCCGAAGACGGCGAGGAGGGCCCACGACACGAGAGGCGCCGCCAGGTTGGCGACGCCCTGCATCGAAAAGACAAGCGACGCGTTCCGGCCGCGCTCCGCGTTGCTCGACGACCTGCCGGCGGAGGTGCGTGAGCGTTCAGCGAAGAGGCGCGTCGTCTCCAGCCCGGCCTTGGTGTGTGCGTGGTGTCGGCCTAAGCGCGGTGGTGTGTGCTTGTGCGTCGACTGCGGTGTGCGTGTGATCTTGGCGCGGGTCATAGCGGGAGGGGTCAGAGAGCGCTCGGGTGCGCGGCTTGCGGGACTCAGCCGCGGCCTCAGCCTCCGCCCGGTGGAGACGGCAGGAGCTCGCGGCGGGATGGGGACGGTGCACGCACTCGGTGGCGATTGTCGCGGAGAGCGGGTACACGCCGCCGACGCCGACGCCGAGCACGAACCGCGAGAGCGCCAGAAAGGTGAGCACCGACGAGCTATCGCCTCCGAGCGGTACCGCCGCGGCCGAGATGGTCGCGCCGAAGAGCGAGAGCGCCATCGTGAGGCGGAGCGCGGCGCTCCGGCCGACGCAGTCGCCAATGTAGCCAAACGTGAGCTGGCCAAGGATGGCACCCACGAGCACCGCTGTCGATGCCGCCTCCACCTGCGCCGAGCAGGCGTCGGCGCCGCCGCAATACTGGTACGCAATTGTGACGTGCGAGACGTTGATGATGACCAGGTTGTAGGCGGTCGAAAGGTTGGAGATTGCCGAGATGAGGAGCTTGCGGTTCATCGCGCTGTCGCGCTGTCGCAGGCGGGCTTCGCTGTCGCAGGCGGGCTGCCAAGATAACCGGGGGTGGGAGTGGGAAGTTTGAAGACCACTGCAAGCTACCTCGTGCTTCATGTGTGCGCCCATCCTGATCTCTCCCCTACAACCCATGGTACTGCGCCCCGCTCCTCGCTCTCGCCCGCAAGGCACCAAACTTGGGCGCCTCCCCCACCATCACCTGCACGAGGCCTCTCTGCGGGTCCGGGTGCGCAAAGGCGACGCCGCACGACTGCAGGAAGAGGCCGCCGCTGGCCCGGACCGGCGGCAGCGCCTCCGCCCCCCCTCGCGAGCGGCGCGCCGCCGCAGCGTGTCCCCAGTACAAGTCGTCGCCGACGATCGGGCAGCCCAGGCCGGCGGCGTGCAGGCGTAGCTGGTGGGTTCGCCCCGTGAGCGGCGACATGCGGACCCACGAGAGGTGGCCCCACTGCGCGTGCGGCGTCACAGAGAGCACCTCGAGGGTCGACGCCGCAGGCTGGCCCTGCAGCGGCGCGCGGATCTCGAGGCGGCCGCCACAGGCCTGGTCGATGGGCGGGCGGCCGACCAGCAGCGCGTGGTACACCTTCGCCACCTCGCGGGCGGCGAACTGTCGGCCGAGCTCGACGGCGGCGCTCCTCGTTTTCGCAACCAGGCAGAGGCCGGAGACGGGCACGTCGAGCCGGTGCAGGGCCAGCGGCAGCGGCAGCGCGTCGGGAGCGTCGCGCGGCGGAGGGGACAGCTCCGCCGTCAGGGCGTCCTCGAGCGCAGCGAACTTCGCGTTGCTGCCCGCCTTGGTGTGGATGCCCGGCGGCTTGAAGACGACCGCGACGGCCTCATCCTCGTGGAGCACCCGCAGGCCCTGGGAGCGCAGGTGCTCGACAAAGCGGGCCCGCGCGTGCAGCCGCTTTTCTGACGGCCTCGCGGCGGCGGGCGGCTGCAGCTGCAGCACGTCGCCCTGCTGCACCCGCCGCGACTTCTCCACCGCCAGCCCGTTGACGAGGAGGTCTCCCCGCCTGACGGCGTGCTCGGCCTGAGACTTTGTCCCGAGTGGCGCGAACCGCGATCCACCGACGCGGGTGAGCCGCGCGCCGGACTCATCCTCCGTGACGGTGTGGTGCAGCCGCGGCGGCGGCCGATCAGAGTGCCAGGCGAGCATCGCACTCACGATCGCCGGGTCGTGGGTGTCAGGGCAGGTCTTGGCGAGAAGCCGCGGCGGTGGCGCTCTCAGAAGTGTCGGGGCGGCGAGAAGCGGCGCGGGCATCGCGCGGCAAGTTTCTTTTTCCCTTTCGGCCAGGAAGACGACTTCGCTGCTCCTTGCACCGCGTGCAAGCGCACGCGCCACACTTCGACGCGTCCAAGTAAACGCGACCGTCCTCCTCCTCATCCTCGTCGTCGTCTCCGTTCCACTCCTCATCCGAGCAAACAATCTCTCTCTCTCTCTCTCATCCGAGCTGTCGTCCGGCGCCGCCACCTTGAGCCGGTCCGGCATCGCGGCGCGGCTCTCGCGACGCGCCATGATGCGAGCGGCCGATGTATCCAGCTCCTCCCCGGCCTCGCCGCCCCGGGGCTCATCCTTCAGCTGGGGTGAAACGGATGAGCGCGCCCTTACGGCGCCCTTACGCCCTTAAACCGGACCCTTTGCCACTTCCCCCACCCGCTAGTTTTTTTCTTTCTTTCGAAATTCATCGAGGATGTACATGTACGTACTTATAGCTTACTGGGAGAAAAGAGAGAGGGGGTTGTGTTCTCTAGGCCCCTAAGGATGTATGACTTGGAGCACTTGGAGTGCAGTCAGTAACCGCACATCCAGGGCCGGGGAGCTCAGGCGTGATTTATTTGTTTTTGTTTTGACTAGCGCGCGCACGACTTATGTCGGCCGTGGAAAAATCTCTCTGTCACCTTCCGCACGAAATTCATGCCGACCGTGCTCTTCAGTCCGTTTGCTGCTGGTTCCGCCGCCCGCATGTTTGACGACTCGTCCTGCAGCGAGTGCTTCAAGGCGGCGCACGACTCGATCGATCAGCCCGCCATCGCTGCGAGCGCAGCGGCGGCCGCCCTAGGGAAGCAGCTTCGAGTCGCTTGCGCCGACCGCAGTGGTCCGACCGAGGTAGCCCTCGCCGAGGTGAAGCGGCTGCTATCGGTTCCGGGTGCCGACGTGAACGACGCGAACCGAAACGGCAAAGCGGCCATCCACCACACCGCGCAGCTGCGGTCCGACACAGAGGTGCTCGCGTGCCTGGTCGCCCACGGAGCAGACGTCAACGCGACGACGCACCGAGGTCACACGCCGCTCATCTATGCGGCCGGCCGCTGCCGCGAGCAAGTTGTCCGATTCCTCCTCGCAAACAGGCTTAGCTGCTGAGCGTACAGGTCCTTGTAGCCTAACTAGGACGCACCCGTGCACCCAACCGCGTCAAATAGTGTATCCACTGTATTCGCATTCACACCACGCGCCGAACACACCGCAAGCGACGCCAATGCTGCAGGCACACGGCGCCGACGCGGCGACGTGGACGGTGATGGGCGACGACTGCATCAGCATGGGGCGCAGCAAGGGGCTGCCCGAGGACCTGCTCCACGAGCTCGCGCGCAACCAGGCGGCCAGCACCCGGCGGCGCGACTTCCGCGGCGACGAGCGGGCGGTGCGCGCCCAGGAGGAGCACGCGAAGCACTGCTCTTGCTGCCAGCGGAGGCGGTCGGAGGCCGGCGCGGGGGATGAGCCGCCCGCACTCGAGGATGCGGTCGTGGAGCTCGCCGTGGCGCTCGGCGCTGCGGCCGCCGATTCGGACGAGGCGCTCAGCGCGGCGCTCCTCTCCGCGACCGGCCTCGACACGCCGATCCTGCGGCACGCGATCGAGTTCAGCCTGCGCATCGGTGCCACAGAAGGCGGCGACGAGGCGGCGGCGGCGACCACAGAGGCGGCGATGGCCGTCCGTGATGACACGGCACCACCTGCGTGGCAGTCCTGGAGCGGTCCTGGCCATGCCCCGTAGGAGGAGGTGATTGGGGACGCCGTCGGAGCGGAGCAGCTGCTGCGCGCCGCGCGCGACGAGGCTCTCGGCCGGTGCTTGGGCAAGGGCGCCAAGGGGCGCGCCCGCCGGCCGGTGCGGATGGTTGCGGGCGCCGTCTTGGCCGCCGTGAAGAGCGAGGGGGTCGTCGAGGCGCTCGTGCTGAGCGGGCAGTCGATCGGCTCTCTCGTGGCTGCGGCGGACGCCCACGTCGCGGCTGCGTTGGTCGTGCGCTGGCCGGCTTCCCTCTGCGACGCGGCGGTGTGCGAGCGGCTGTGGGCGACACTGACTCGCACGGGCAACGGCTGGCATGCGGCCGTGGGAGAGGTGAAGGCGCGGCAGAAGCGGTACGGCGGGCCGAGGGTCGCTGCGTGGGCGCGCGCGCTGCGCTGGGCTGCCACCGTCGGCTTTGAGGGTTGGCGCCCCGCCGCGTGCAGCTTGCTTGACGAGGCGGCGGCGTGCGCGTCGCTCGCTCACCTGCTGGACGCGCTCTCGACGCGAGGCGCGGAGGTTGTGCCGCCGGCTCTGGCCGAGCTCCTCACCGATCGATACGGCGAGTGGCCGTGCGCGCCTCGCGCCGCGCCGTCGCTTGCGGCTGCGGCTGCGCCCGCGATCGCGCCCCCGCCACCCCTCGACATCGAGTCGCTTCCCGCTGCGACCCTCGAGCAGGCGGGGACACTCCCGCGCGGGGAGCAGCTGTCGATGGCACGCCTCTGCGACATGGTGTTCTGGACGAGTCATGCGTCCTTTCCCCGTAGGAACCTCTCTTTGTCGACGAGCCGAACAGCATACGGGCGCTGCACGGGAGCCTCGCGGCGATGGCAAGGGAGGAGCGACGCCGCGGCTCGCCGCCGCTTCGCATTGGAGTCGACACGGAGTGGGCAGATGCGCTGGAGGAGGACGAGGCGGCGGAGGAGGAGGAGTCGGCCACCGCTGCTGAGAGGAGGAGGCCCTCTCGGCGGCCCCCGCGGCTGGCGGTGGTCCAGCTCGCTGTGCACGGGCGTGGGGCTTGGGTGATCGACGCCCTCGGCCACCCGGCGCGGCGCGCGGTGGGCGAGCTGCTGCGGTGGGCCCTCAACGGCGACCCGGCGGACGACGACGCGGTCGCCGTGCTGGGATTCGCTTTCCAGGGCGACCTCAGTGTGTTGCGCCCGATCTGCGGCGGTGACTTGCACGCGCGCGCGCTCGTCGACCTGCAGCAGTTGGCGCGCCAAGGCCGGGAGGACTCGCAGCCGTCGCTGCGGAGGGTGTGCGCGCGCACGCTCGGCAAGGCGCTCGACAAAGCGGAGCAGTGCAGCGATTGGGCGCGCCGTCCGCTGCTGCCCGCGCAGATTCGGTACGCCGCGCTCGATGCCGCGGTGCTGCTCGACATCCACGACGCGCTGCTCAAGCGGGGCGAGGCGCGGCAGGTCGATGGGTAGGAAGGAGCGACGACAGGTCGACAGCCCACCGTGAGTTTGCGCGTCGTCTTCCTCTACGCGCCTCGTGGTCGAGGACGGCGCGGAGCGCGAGGTGCTCCGCGCCGTCCTCGCGGCCTCGCACGTGTTTCTGTCGGAGGCGTCTGAGCAAGCGGTGGGGGGGGGGAGAGGAGAGAGGAGAGAGTCCAAAAGTGCCTCCAAAAGGAGAGGATGACTACCCCACTTTCACTTACCCTCTTTCCTCCTCCTTTCTCGCCACGACGAGCAGCTTGGGAGCTTCGTTGTGACTCAAACACACCCCAGCGCCCGCTCCGGAACGCGGAAGGTCACAGCGACGGGGCACGGGCACGCGTGTCACATCCAAGCGTGGCGGCCCAAATCGCTTCTAATCGCTTAAATCGCTTCAAAATCGCTTAAATGGCATAAAAATTGCTTTGAGCTCGTGATTGTTTTCGATTTCAGCCCACATCTAGGCGATGTTTGGGACAAATGTCGACATTTGGTGCTCTTGGAGGTTAAAATCAGCGATCAATATATCAATATATTGTCAATACCATCCGCAACATCTCTCTTCTTCACATAAACGCACAACCCCAGACCCACGACGACAAGCACAGAGAGAGAGAGAAGAAAGAGAGAAAGAGAAAAAGAGAAAAAAGTGGGACTTCGAAAGATTGATGACGAAGGTTGGAGATCGGATGAGGTCCCGGGAGGAGGCGAGAAGATCTTTGGCGAATGATGGGGGAGCAAGCCACGCCGCCCTGACTGTGCTCACCGCCCACCCGGACGGGCCAGGCCAATGGGGTCGACTAGTCTCGCCGAGGAGCTCTGCTTCAGCGAACTCACCTCGCAGCGCCGCTGCGTCTCCGAGGCGACGCCGCCGCACAGGATTGTGCACGTCAACGCAGCGTGGTGCGAGTGCACCGGGTACACGCGGGAGGAGGCCCTCCAGCAGACGCCAATGGTACTGACTGGACCGGAGACGTGTCCACAGACGCTGCAGGCATGCGTTGCCCCGCTGGCCCAGCCCTCTCCGCCCACTGATCCCTTCGAGCGCTCGCGCATTCCCGCCAACGGCTGGTTGCCTCCGCCGCTCTCCCCCACGCGAATCTGCAGGCGCTGCGTGAGGCCATTGCGGCGGCGCGTCCCATCGTGATCCGCATCCTCAACTACCGAAAGGACGGATCCAAGTTTGTCAGCGACCTCTCTGTTGTGCCGATCCATGACCGCACCGCCGGCGCAGCGACGCACCTGCTGTGGTTCCTCGCCGATGCGCAGCAGTCGCGGGTGGCGCTGCCGGCCACGACCGCGTCGCACTTCGCGCTGCCCGCCATCAACGCCAATGTCGGCTGGCCGCCCGGCTTGCTTTCGCAGCTCGCGTCTGTCGACGGCGGGTTTGGGGCTCCGCCGGCGGCGGCGGGCGGCGGCGGTGGCGGCTCGCTTCCCGTCTCGCGGCCACCGTCGGCGGCAACGGGGCCGGTGCTGCCGGTGCGGCTGCACGAGGCACTGCAGCACGAGGTGCCATATCCGCAGCTCGTCACCGAGCGCATGCCGCCCTACAAGATCATCCACACCAACGCCGCTTGGCGGCGCGTGACGGGGCACGGCGCAGGCGACGATCCTTGCCTCCGTCCCTGCTGCCGTGCCTCTCTGCCTCTGCCTCGCCGCTCCTCCCTGTCGACTCTCTCCTCTCCCTGACCGCCTCTCCCCTCACTGCTTCCTCTCCTCCTCCGCCTCCTCCTTTCCCCCTCTCCCTCACCGTGCGCCCCTCGTCTCCACCAGACGAGCTGGTCGGCAAGCCATTCGAGACGCTCCTCTCCTTCACCGACCCGGGTCTGCAGCCGCTGCTGCAGCGCGCCTTCTTCGAGGGGCAGCAGGCGGCCTCGGGCCCTCCCGCCGCCCCAACCGCTTCCCTCCTTCGCCTCCTTGCGCCGCCGCACCTCGCCCACCCTCGCCCACCCTTGCCCGGCGGCAGGCCACGTCGCTTGCGACGCTGCGCAAGAGCAATGGCGAGATGCTCCACGCGCCGCTCACCGTGTCGCCCCTGCTGGAGACGACGGGGAGCCAGGTCAAGTGGTTTGTCCACGTCCTCCACGTGATGGCGGCCGGGCTCATCCCGCCCGCCGCAGCAAATGACGGCGCCGCGCCATCCGCGCTGGCCGCCGCCGCGCCCGTCTCGCTCGACTGGCGCGATATGCAGGACGCGCTCGCGCGCGCCAGCGGCCTCTCCGGCCAGGCGGCCGCCCCGACCGCGTGCCGCGTGCCGCCGCGCACCGGGTCGCACATTGAGCTGTCGGCGCTGAGCGAGCTGCACAGCGAGGCGATGAGCGCGGCCGCGGGGATGGGGCTCTCGCTGCAGGAGAAGTTCGACACGCTGCACGAGGGGAGGAGCAGCTGCAGCTTCGGCACGGCCGCCATCGCGGCGGCGTGCGCCGGTGAGGCGGGCGACTTTCTGATCTCTTCGGCTTCGATGCGGGTCCGAGGCGCAAACGGGGCTGGGTCGGAGCAGCCGCACATGCGCCTTGGACCCGCATCGGTGTCGGAGAGCTGCTGCCTCTCGAACCTGTCGGGGACCTCGCCGCCGGAAGACGACGTGGCATCGGGTGGCTCGGGCGGCTGCGGAATGTCTTCGTCGAACAACTCCGAGGCGGAGCGCGCCGCCGACGCGTTGCTCGCCGCGGAGCCGTCGGACGTCGCCGCGGCCGTCGGCACGGGCGGCGGCGCAAGCGGCAGCTGCGAGAGCGCGGGTGACGTGCCGATGCTTCCGGTGGCGACATGTCTCTCCGCGCTGCCTCCGGCGCCGGACGGGGCGGCGGCTGAGGGTGCGAGGCAGGGATCGGTGGGGGCAAAGCGGGCGGGGCCCTCGAGCGGGTCGGGCGGCGAGCTTGGTGTGCGGCTGCTGACGGACTCTCTGGCCGTCGAGTCGTCTTCGGCCTCCTCCTCCTCCTCCTTCCTCGGCACGCTGCGCCACCTCTCCTCGTCCAACACGGCGCGCGTCGGAGGCGGCAGGCGACACGCGACGCCCCGCGGCTCTCTCGGAGAGACAATGGCGGTGTCTCCTCACAGGGCTACGCGTCTCTCCTCATAGGCACGGCCAGTGCGACCCCAGCCAAGGGCTTGCAGTGGGCGGCAGCCGCGCGACAGCGCCCTCGGAGGGGGGCTCGAGCGGCTCCCAGGGGCGAAGCGCCACTTCGCCAGCCCACGAGTCCGCCGACACGCTCTTGCGAGCGGCGGCGCACGCCGCGGCCGTCGCGGGCGCGTATGGCGGGGCGGGCGCGGTGCCAAAGGAGCGAGCCGCCGTGCGCGTCGCCCCGTTCCTGACCAAGCTCTACACCATCGTGGACGACCCCGTGCTGAACGAGTGCGCAGCCCCTTGCCCCGCCCCCTCTCCTCCCCGCCCCGCTTTCCACACCGTTCTCTTGTCCCCCCCCCCCACCCCACAACCACCCCACAACCACCCATCCACCAAAAACCCCGCTCTCCGCTTTCGCACCCACCCCACCCACCGCCGTCGCAAACAGGTACGCCACGTGGTGCCGCGACGGCACGGCGCTGCGCATCGTGCACCCGCAGCGCTTCGCCGACCACTGCTTGCCGCGTTTCTTCAAGCACAACAAGCTCGGCTCCTTCCAGCAGCAGCTCCTCACCTACGGCTTTGTGCGCGTCCCTAACGACTCGTGCCTCGACGTGTCGACGGTCTGGCAACACCCGTACTTCCGCCGCCACCAGGCGAGCACCCTCGCCGCGAACGCTGCCGCGCTTGCCTCCCGCCCTTCGGCCCTCTCCCTCCTCCCTCCCACCCCCCGCCGACCACGCGCCCGCAGCCCGAGCTCATCGAGAAGATTGTGCGTGCCACCGGGGCGAGCTCGAAGCGGGGGGCGTCCAAGCCGGGCGCCTCGGCGGCGGGCGCCGACGGCGCGGGCGCGCGGGCCCGGCCCTAGGGGTGTTTGCGAAGGCGGGAGAGGCTGAGCGGGCGAGCGGGAGCTGTCTGTAGGCGAGGGGACGGCCGAGGAGCAGCTGGCGAGGATGCAAAAGCACCTGTCGCGGCTCGCAAAGACGGTACACGGGCTCAAGGACGAGCTGCGAGCGGTGCGCACGACCGAGATGCACGTCCTCGACCAGCTCCTGACGCGGGTGCACAAGCGGTTCAAGCCCGACAATGGCCGGTGCCCGCGGTAGCTGGCGCCGCGCCAACCCCCCAGCAGCCCACCGCACGCTGACGGGGTGCACCTCTGCCTCTCCAGGCCCGACGCCGAGGGGCGCTCCACCGCCTCCGACTCGAGCGGCTCGCTCACGGGTGCGGCTCCGGGTCCGCCGAGGCGGCGGCGGGGGCGCAGCGCATCTGACGAGAGCCGTTTGTCTCGCAGGTGCCACGGAGGCGCTCGACTCGACTTCCTCCGACAAGGGCTCCTCGACCGGGTCGCACGGTGGCCGCCCCTGCACCGCCCCGACCCATCGCCGCACCCCCCCCCCCCCCCCCCTTTCTCCCAGCCTCCCACCCCACCTTCGCCCTCTCGCCTCCCCACCTTCGCCCCCTCCCGCCCACCCCTACCCCGCCCCCTCCCGCCCACCCCTACCCCCCTGCCCACCCCCCTACGCAGACGGCTCAAACGGAGAATGCTCCAAGCGGCCCTGCAACGGCGGCTCGTCGAGCGGAGACCACGGGAGTAATCTCGAGTCGGCAAGCAACGGCGATTGCGGCTGCTGCAGCGGCAGCACCGGCAGCCCGGGCTCGGATCCGTAACACACGGCACGACCAGCGCCAAAGCGGGCCCTGTACGGCAAAACCCCCGTACTCTTAGCCTCAGCTCTCTGCACATTGCGCGCGACCGAGAACAGCTCGGTGATCAGCGCCAGCTACTGTCTGTTTGACTGTCCGTCCCTAGCACGCGCGCCGTGGGAGGTGTGTGTGTTGTCTGGGGTGAGAGCAGGATGCAGCTGGGCTGCATCGACACGAGGATGCAGCTGGCGGCATGCCGCACTCCTCCCACTAGTTGATACGCCCCCGTTGGGCAGCCCGGCGTTGGGCTGCTGGGCACATTTAGATTTCCCCTGGGGAAGCCCCAAAAAAGTCGCCGAGCTCGCGGTAATCGGGGTACGACGTACGTCAGGGATCCGGTCCTTGTGAATTACCCCGAGCTTCGGGCGCATCATATCGAGCCGCTGGCTCCCCACGCTTGGTGCCGATGTCAATGCTCAATTCAGTGCCACGTTCGTGAACCACGCGACGACTGGCTTTGACCACGCCATTCTTTGCGGCGGCCCAATATCTGGCTAAGAATGCTGCTTCTATCGCACGGCTCTTCCTCATATGAGCGACGCTTTTCGACCCTTGTGCGCAAACCTTAATCGCACACGTAGCATCGAGTTTGATAACTTCAGGAGTCGGCCCCAAGTTTACTTCGCGCCCATTCGACTGGCTTAGCACCGTTGGAACTCCGTTGTCGTCACTCAACCGCACGCCCCTCAATGCCTCGATGATTGGCGTAGTATAGCGAGCCCCCTTGTTGCACGAACAGCGCTCGCCACTTCGTCTTCTTGACTACTAAGAGCCGGAACCGAAAATGCTTTGGCCTTCATGAAGTACATCCACGATGTCCACGGCCCCTCCAATGACAAAGAATGATATCCGAACCCTGTCCTCGTGTTCTTGTCGGAAGCGTTCGAAGCATCGCTACGCGCGACGTTGCTGACCAGGTTCATACGCATGTCGAACTCCGCGTACTGCAAATAGCCCATGCAGTGGATCAACATCTCGTCGTCTTTCGTCGTCCAATTGTGGAAGCGTGTCGCCTGTGCATCGCGCGCGCGTAGCTCAGATCTCCCCTGCTCCACTCCGAGGTGTACCCGATAACTCCGACGAAATGCATCGCGACGTCGGCCAGCCACCCCGGCTCCGCGCTGTCGTCCTTCTCGACCGTCTCGCGGCTTCCTGCCGCTTCGCTTCCTCCAGCTTCTCCTGGTACCAGGACTGCGCAACAGGCAACGGCGTTTTCCTGTTGCGCAGTTTCCTGCCTTTCGTCTCGAGCAAATCGACAAATTCGCCAACTGCCTTCACTTCTTCACCAAAGCAGTCTGGTCCATTGTCAGGATCCAAACTGTGTCTTTGACCTTCTCACCGTTGAACTCCCGCTTTGCCAGTCCCTTGCTCGCCTTCCGGGCGTTACCAGACTGCCTCTGTAGTCGTTTTTGGTGCCTCTTCCTCGACTGTGGCCTCGACTCCGCTTCGCCTTGAGCGTCGGCGGCCCGGCCGGGGTCTCCCCGGGCGAGGATATCTGACTTTTTTCTTTTTTGCCCGCGGCGTCTTTTCCTTTGGGGCCGGGCGGCGCGCAAGAAGGGGCCGTCGCCGCTCTTGCAGCTTTACCGCAGAGAGCATGTTCGCCGGTGGCACACACATCACGGCGACGCAGTACACGATGCACCAGTCCGGCTCCGGCAGCTGGCCCGTCGGCTCGCGCGACGCAGCGTCCGAGGCGACGCGGCTGATCAAGACGGTCGAGAGCGTGTACTCGCAGAGCATGTCGCACGCCGACGAGGCAAAGAAGCGCGAGCACGACTCGGCACGGACGCAGCAGGAGCTGCAGCGCGTCGTCCAGGACAACGAGAAGCTGCGCGCGAAGCTGCAGCACGACGAGCGCGTGCGCCTCCAGGACACGACCATGCGGGAGGAGGCGCCGCGCACGTGAGCCGCGCAGTCCCACCGACCGCCCACGCCGACAGCGCCCCTCGCCCCCCTTTAGCTGCTGGAGAACCGGCTGCGCATCGAGGCCATCTCCGAGTCGCAGAGGGGCTTCAAGACCCAGATCAAGGAGTACGGCGCAATCATCCACAACATGAAGGAGGCGACCGACGCGAAGCGGAAGCAGCTCGCAGACTATAGCTCGGCTATCGACGACATCAAGGAGAAGCAGAAGGACCGCAAGGAGCTGCGGCGCAGAAACACGCTGCTCAGCCGCAACCTCCACGGCCTGAAGCAGCAGCTGGCCGACTCGGAGCGGACGGGCACCGAGCGGGCAAAGGCGCTCGAGGCGGAGGCCCAGCGCTTCCGCACTTCGTTGGAGGAGAAGGACGCGCTGGCGCGAGACAAGGCTGCGGTCCAGGGACTGCTCGACGCCAAGGGCGGCGATATGGTACGGCTCGGAGCCCAGAAGGACGCGGTCGTCAACATCTTTGTGATCGAGATGAAGGAGCTGGACACGCAGCTGCTGTCTATGGGCAAGGAGGCGGCGACGCGCGAAGAGCAGCTCAGGAACGCCTCTGCCCGCCTGGAGGAGAACGCCGCGCGCATCTCCGAGCTCAGCACGCAGCACGCGGAGAAGGCGCAGATTGCCGACCAGTACAAGGCGCGCAACGATGTGCTGCAGGCCAGCGCCGCGTCCTACCAGTCGCAGCTCGACGAGAAGGAGCAGCAGCGCGTGGCGCTCGCCGAGCAGCACAGCGCCGGCGTCAAGGAGCTCGAAGAGAAGCTGGCAGGGCTGCGCGAGCACTCCTCGGCAGAGAGTGAGCGCGCCGCGGCGGCCGCACGCGAGTCTCAGAAGCAGATGGCGCAGCTCGAACGAGAAAAGACGGATGTGCTCGAGTCGGCCGCAAAGAGCAAGAAGGCATCCCCCCCCCCGCCCCACCCACCCGCTATCCACGGTGTGCCCCCAATCAGGCCGCCTCTGCTCGGTGCCCGTAGGCGGACGAGGCGGAAAAGAAGCAACTGCAAGCGTCGCACGAGGGGCAGCTAGAGGAGCTGCGCGCCAGGTGCGGGCGGATCGAAGAGGCGGCGCAAAAGGCCGACGGCGAGCACAAGTCCGTCGCCAGCGAGCGAGACGCACAGATCGAGCAGCTGAAGAAAGAGCTTGGCGATGCGCAGAAGCAGCACAGCGATGACAAGGACCAGATGCAGCGCCAGAATCAGCAGCAGCTGCTCAACCTGCAAGGCCAGCTCAACGAGGCGGGGCGCGCCAAGAAGCAAGAGGCGGACGAGGCGGCCCAGACACGTCAGAAGCTCGAGGCACAACTCGCCGCGCTTCGTGAGGAGTCTGACAAGAAGCTCAGCGCTGAGCAGAGCCAAGCCCGCGAGCTGCAAGGAGAGCTGGAGGCGGCCAAGGCCGAGCTTGGCGAGGCTGGCGAGCGTGCCACTGCGGCCGAGGCGCGGGTGGCGGAACTCGAGCACCAGCTCCAGCTCGGGTCCAGGGCCGCGCAGCCGACGCCGCAGCACGCCGCAGCGCGCCCGCCAGGCGGCGCCGCAACGCCCAAGAGCCGTTCGCTCAGCTACCGTCCCGGCCGTGGGCCCCGTGCGCCAGCCGTCCGGTACGGTAGCTCAACCGGCTCAAACCCGATGATCACCCCCGCCTCGAGCGTCTCGCCCGAACCACCCAAGACGCTGCCCGAGCGCACGCCACGCGCCGAGGAGGGGGGCGGCGGCAAGCCCCCGCAGCTGGACTCCGAGCCGTCGGCGCGAAAGGTGCCGGAGCAGCCACGCCGCTCGGTGGGGCAGCAGAAGCGCAAGGAGGGGCCGCCGTCGTCGCCGACGAAGGAGTCTACACCGCCGGCTCAATCGCAGTTCGTTGCGAAGCCGGAGGGGGCGGCGCAAGGCCCACCTCGGCGCTCGGCTGGAGGATCGACGAAGCTTCGCCGCACCGCCCTCAGCCGCCGCACGCAGCCGGGGACGAAGGCGCAGCCGGCAAAGGGGCGCGACGTCTTCGACCTCGACGTCTTCGATGACTGATCGGATGGCGTGCGCGCGCGGCTACGGCGAACACGGCCACCGAGCGCAACAGGGGCGACGATGACGCCAGAGCCGCCACGCGTTCAAAGCCGCCGTCGCTGCTTTCGTCATGCGCATGTCGGTCCGAGATGTGATGTGGAGCGACGCCTGGGAATGAGATGGGGGATGGGGGCGGGTGATGCGTGCTCGAGTAGCGGCGGCAGAGAACGATCTGCTTCAGGCTCAGTGGGTATTCGCCCGCCTTTTGCGCCGGACTCGGGGCCGTACGAGAGGGTCGCAGAAGACACCAAACAGCGCCGCCGGCAGGGACTCTGATCAGTGACTGTTGAACAGTCTGTAACTGTTGACGTTGGGGACCTGCTGGTGTAGCCTGGTGTGTCGTTGTCCTCTCTCTTGCGGACGCGTGTCTTCGCGGTTCGTGCACTCGCGCACGACCTCGCCGCCTTTTGTGCGCAATGAAATGATAGAGGCCATTGCAAAATCAGAGAGCAAGCCAGTCAGGGCTAGAGGGCCCACAGCGTCCTAATCTAAAATCTGAGGATTAAGGATTCAGGCATCGCTTTAGTGAGGCCAAAGTGAGTTTATGGATGTGTGAGAACGATGCGCGACACGAGGAGGCACGCGGACCGACTCGTCGGCGACTCTGCTGCACGCCGTTTCAGCATTTTTCTCAGCGTGAGCGAGACGTGGAAGAGTGCCACCGTCGGGTAGGACGGGTCGGCCCGGAGCATCGGAGTAGCCGTCGTGGTCGCGGCGAGCAGCGCCGGCCACTCCGGCGCCGCGTCGGCAACATGGGAGCATGTCCACCGCCACTTCGCGGTCGCAGCGCTGTATAGTCGCCAAACGCCGCCATGTACCTTTTCGGGCAAACCATCGAGCTGCATATCGATTTCGACTTGACGGGCGCATGGAGGCATCGCGTCTCCATGCGCCCGTCAAGTCGGAACCAGTCTGCGGCGACCACAGCGAAAGGTACATGGCGAGCTTTTCAGAGTCAAGCGATTGCGCGAAATCCCACAGTGGTGCATTTTGGGGCGCTGTGGGCCCCCTATCAGGGCGGCGTGGCTTGCTCAGCCATCATTCGCAAAAGATCTGTTCAGGACAGCCCTCAGCCCGGAGAGGGGGGGCAGGGCGGGGAAGGGGGAGAAATGCGCGCAAACGCCGGGGTGTGTTTGAGCCACAAGCTGCTCGGTCGTGGCGAGGAAACGACATGAGGAAAGAGGTAAAAAAGCGGGGTAGTCATCCTCTCTCTTGGGGAGGCACTTGGACTCTCTCCTCTCCCCCCACCGCTTGCTCAGACGCCTCCGACAGAGCACACGTCCTAAGCGCACGCACGACTGGGGCAAAGGGGGCACATGGACATGCACATGCACATGAACATGTGTGAATTTACTGACATAGAAAAACACGATCACGAGGTGTTGTTGTGTGCGTTACTCTATGAGAGAGTAGCGGTTTAGGACTTAGGTTGGAGCAGCGGTGGGGAGGACGACCCGCTCAAAAACAAGAAAAGATCAAAATCAGTAAAAAGAATAAACGGACCACCCTTCAAGTGCTAAAGGATCGTGCAGCGCAAGTGTGCGCCTCACAGTGATCTCACCGCAAACCCTCTCCGTCGCTCCGACAGTGCAGCCTCCAGGACTCCCATCACCTCCTGCCGCTCTGCCTCCGACGCAAACGTCCGCTGCACGGCGGCAGATAGGTTCTGCGGGTCGATTACCCGCGGGTGCAGCGCAGACATCGCCCTGGCTCGGCCCTTTCGTTTCCGCACAACGCGGAGCACTGCTGCCGCCTGCTCGGCTGTAAAGTAGGCTCGCCCTGCAGCCTGTGAGAGCAGTCCCGGGCCCTCACGCGCCGGGCCCTCAAGTGATAGCTGCTGCTCGGCCGAGAGCGCCCTCATCAGGTCGTCGAACCTGGCCTCAGCCATAGGCGGCGACAGATGACGCCCGCGGTCTAGCGGCTTGCTCCTCAGCTCGACTGTGTGCTCAAGCTTGAGGGTGCCCTGCTCGGGGAGGTGGGGGTACTGCCATTCGGCCGGGTCCGCGCGCGCGTCGTCGAGGCTCGCCGATCGCCACGATTCAAGGGGTGACGTGAGCTGGCGCTCCCAGAGTCGCAGCGCCGTGGCACGGCCGGCCGGTGAGGAGAGGTCGAGCGCCGCCTCAAAGGTGAGCTCGTCCTGCGGCGTGGTCGAGCTACAAGCCGCTCGCAGGGAGCCCGCAGCAGGGAGTGACGCCACTCCGAGTGCAAAAGGTGTGCCGTCGAGTTTGCTCCAGTGGCAGCAGACATCACCCGCAATGACGCGCTGCTCGGCCAGCTCGGCAAGCAGCCTGTCACCCGCATTGGAAAGGTCGAGGTCTAGCGCCGCCTCGAGCCCGCGTCTCCATGACACGTACTCGAACTCCACAAGCCCACTCTTTGGGAGCTCTCCGCTCGACTCCCCGCTGTCGGGGACGACGAGCGGCGCGCCGTTGTGCCGCACGTGCATCCACGTCTCGCCTGGCTCGTTGGACATGGCGTGCAGCGTCTCAAGCAGAAAGGCATCCCAAGGGTCCGCGCAGTCGAGCTTGTAGCTGCCGTCGGGGTCGGTCGGCGAGAAGCGGCAAGCAGCACCGCGCTTGTACGATGCGCCCTCGTGCACATCAGTGAGGCCGGCCGACTCGATGCGCCGATTGCTGCGAAGCGCGTCCACGATGGCGGAGATGCCCTCGAGGTTGAACTTGGTTCCGTCCAGTCCCATTGGGTTGTGGGAGAGCTCGCACGAGGTGAGCGTCGAGCTCCTTCGGAGCCCGTCTGCCAGTGCAGTAGCACCCAAGCGGCCGATGCGGTTGTGCGAGATGTCGAGGTGCGTGAGCGCCGCGATCCCGGGGATGGCCTCTCCGAGCGCCACCGCGCCCTGGTCACCGATGCTGTTCCAGCTCAGATTGATTCGTCGGAGAGCGCTCCTCGGCAGAGCGTGGGCGACGGAGGAGCCACCTGCTCCTCTCAGCGAGTTCCATCCCAGATCCAAGTCGAGCAGGTGGGCATTGGACGCGATCATTTCGCCCAGCGCAAGGCCCGAGGCCTCGCCGAGCGTGTTGTAAGATACGTCGAGCCGCGTGAGAGAGGCCGCGGCGGGGCCAGAGAGAGCGTCAGTGAGCGGCACGGCGGCTCGATCGTCGAGCGCGTTGCCCTTGAGCACTAGTTCGCGCAACGCAGGCACGCCAGGGAGCGCACTCGCGAGCGATCGCATGCCGTGAAAGCCTATCTGGTTGTCGGCCAAGTTGAGCGAGGTCAGGGTGGTGTTGGACAGCCCCACGAAGGCGGCACACCCCTCGTCGCCAAACGCATTGTCTCCGAGGTTGAGCGAGCGAATATGCTCATTCACGGCGAGCGCTGCAGCCAGAGCTTTCGCCCCCTTGACCCCCATCCCTGCGTGGCGTAGATTTATGTGTTCGCACCGGAGCTTCGCCACAAGCATTGCGCAGGGCACAGCTTCGAGCGCGGCGCAGCGCGAAAAGTACTCTCTGCGGCCGGTTGTGGCCGCACACTCGCGCTGCTCACCCTCCGCTGCGTCCGATTCGGCGTCGCTCCACTCGTCGGAGTCTGACATGTCCTGAAACGGCGCGGCCCGGGCAGCGGTTCCCGGTGTGAATTGCGTTCATAGGACGTATTTTCTTCTCACAACAAGGCTGTGAAGGTCGCACCTCAACCTCTCATACAGTTGTAGACCAGCGCACAGCGCCATACGAGGTATTTTCTTCTCAATAACAAGGCGTGAAATAAATGGACACCGTCTACGGTCTACGCTCCCCGGCTGTGGATGTGAGATACCAACTGCTCTCCAAGTGCTCCAAGTGCTCCGTCGTGCGTCGAGACCGTCGTTCGTGCGGCCTGAGTTGACCGGAACGGCAACTGGGGACCGTTCTGACTACGAGATTGTGTACCTTTGGGCCTGTGTTATATATAGATAGATAGAGTGCAGGTGCGCGCCAGTCACCGAGAGGATGCTTTTACCTAATTTACTGCGTGCCTGCCCGTGTTTGTAGCCTGGCGTTTGTGCCCTCCCTAGTTTGTGCCCCCTTCGTGCCGCGTCCTACGACGGGAGTTCATTTTAAAAGAAAAAGCCTAATTGCCCGGGTTCCAACTTTATCCGGGTTATGGTATGGACGGTAGCGTCGCGGCCCAAAGGGGTGGGGGGGTATGGTCCTGACCGCCCAAGACTAGCCCTACCATACCCCCAAGCAGGTCTGCCAGCAGGCTGGGGGGTATGGTCTTAGGTTAGGTAGGAAGGTGAAGAATGTTGCGTGACTGTCTCTGTGCGATTTCGGGCCCGGGGTTGTGCGTTTATGTGAAGCAGTCAGGCTCGGACCTGAGCCACCGTACCATACCCCGCAAAAAGTCCCAACCCGAGACTTGGAGAGGGGTGATTCGATACCGGAGTCAGGTGTGAAAAGTGACAACGTGAGTCGTGACACACGACCGTCACCGTGACGCCATCGCTCACATAGCCTCACAGGATGGCCCGCGCAGCAGGTCGGTGGAGGGGGTGGTCGTTTCGTGGAGGGGGGAGACGCTTCTTTGAACGGGTAGCTTTCTCTCGGGTGGGCGAGGAATGTCGGGTCCTTCCTCCCCGCGCAAATCCATCAGCAGCAACTCGGCTGCACGTATGTTCGTCAGCGTGCCAACTTCACGTTCGGTGTTCTTTGCCACGTCGATAGCCTCGACGAGCTCGAGGAGCGCCGCCTCGAGCTCTTCTGGAGCCTGTTCCGTCTCATCGAACTTGCGTCCCACTTCCTTCATCTTTTCCGTGAGCTTCTCCTCCGCCGCCATCTGAGGCTTGCGCACCTCCTCCCATGCTCGCATCTTCTCCTCACGCATTGCCTTGGCTGCTTGCCACTCCACCATCTCCTCCGGTGTCAGGGCTCGCATCGGCATGCTCGCTGCGCAGAAAGCTGTGCGTCGAAAGCGGACGACGGCGAACACGGAAAGGCACAACCGGCCCACGACAGCGACGGGCAACCGGCCCACAATCGTGAAACGAAGGAAATTTATTTTTTAATGTGATAAAAAATCATTCGACACAGGCGCGGATATGCAACGGTGGCATAAGGCGACTGATACACCGTCGCACGGACTGGCACGTGCGGGTACTTAACAACGAACGAAAAGAACTTCCCCGCCCCGGCCTTGTCAAGTGCCTGGGACCCTGTCGTGTGGGTGAACCCTGCCCAGCCCCCCTCCGTGTCGCGATGCGCTCCCCGCTCCCGTTCCCCTGTGTCCCTGATCGTCCTTACAAGATCCTGCTCGTGCAGGTGGGGACCCTGTCCTTCTCCCACCCCTCGTTTGGCCTGCCCGTTTTATTTATTTATGCTGTCGGTCGATCCAAGATCCTGCGGTTAATGACTGCACTCCAAGTGCGCCAAGTGCAGGTGGAGACCCGTCCTTCTCCCACCTCGTTCGGCGTGTCCGTTTTATTTAGTTAAGTGTCTGGCGGGCGGGGCGCCGCCACCGCAAACGCAAAAGAGTTTTGGGGCGTGTGCATGCAGAGAGAGAGATGCATGCCGTGTCCCGTGTGCACACATGCCGTCCGTGCTATGGAATGAACGGTTGGTCCATACGGAATAATGAATGATTGCGCGTTCTGCTCGTCGGTTTACCTCCGGATACCTGGTCGATCTCGGTCATCTCGGTCCATCTCGTCCATCAAACCGCCGAATTCGAAAAGCAAGCGGCTGCAATGCCAATGGGCTGCGTTTGGCTGCCTCCGTCCGACGCAGCCTGTCGAATCGGATATCCAGTTGAATGGCGCTGCTCAAGCCACTGCTGATCCTCTCGATCAGCGTCACCACCGCCTCCAGCTCCACGATCGACGGCACGCGCCGGCGCGGCCTCGCCGAGCAGCTCGCGGAGGAGTGTGTTGCCGGCACGGCCGGCCTCATCGTGTCCCTTGTTCCGCTCCCGTGCCACTGCACCGCTGAGAATGCCGACGGGTCTGACGCCGTGCTTTGTCCTATGTGCGTCTCGACTCCCTGACAGCTCCTCCTCGACCCGCAAAACTGACTGCGCCCTTGTGAATCGCTAGGTGCGTCGCAAAGCACTGCCCAGGCGTGGACGCCGGCGTGCACTGCTCCAGGAAAACAGGACCATCGCCCTCGCCACCCGCGTCGGCCTCACCCCTCTGCCGGCCCTTCTGCGCCCTCAAGACCGATCCGTGGGAGGAGAAGTGCTCATGGGGAGGCTGTGAGGGCTGCGCCGAGTGCTCCAGGGTGCAGCAGCAGCAGCTTCAGGCAAAGCTCGGCGCCCTGTCGGCGGCTCCTGTCCGCTACCTCAAGTCACTGAACGCCATCACTGCTGCAGAGGTGTCTGCCCCGCCCTGAACCGCCCCGCATCTCAGCCTTCCCAGCTGACAGCCCATTCCACCACCACGCAGCTGGATGAAACCACGCTGGAAGAGGTGATGCTCGACCCAAGCGTGCGCTCCATCGGTGCCGACTGCATCATCGAGCTTCCGACCGAGAACGACGCCGCGCCGAGCGCGATCCAAGAAGGGCCGACCTGGGGCATCGACCGAATCGACAGCCGCGTTGGCCTTGACAACCAGTACGACGATTCGGGCATCACGGGCTCCGGAGCGATTGTTTACGTGCTCGACACGGGGGTCCGCATCACGCATAGTGAATTTGGCGGCCGGGCCGAGCCTGGGTGGAGCTCGGGATGCAACGACAACGGCAACAGAGACGGCCGGTGGGGCAGCACCGCCGCTCCTAGTCCTTCACCTGCACCTCCCTTCTCGCCATATAGGATGCAGCGCGGGGTGGGTGCGGGACGGTGTCGTCACGGACGCAAACACCTGTCACTGGCACGGAACGCACTGCGCTTCGACCGTGGGCGGCATCGAGCTTGGCGTGGCCAAACAGGTGACCATCGTGACCGTACAGGTTCTCTCGTGCGCCGGCGCGGGCTCCACCTCTGGCGCTGACCCGCGTGTGGCATGATTCGATAGGGCGCGTGAAATTGATGTATGTAGGCTCGGGCTCCACCTCTGGCATCTTCGAGGGCATCGAGTGGGTGGTCGCGGACGTGCAGCGGCGCGAGGCGGAGCTAGACGCACACGTACCTGCCATCATCTCCATGTCGCTCGGCGGCGGCGGAGGCGGACGTTTCGACGAGGTCATCAACTGGGCATACGCGCAAGGAGTCGTGTCTGTCGTCGCCGCTGGCAACAATAACGCCGACGCATGCAACTATTCGCCCGCCTCCACACCGCTCGCCATCACAGTCGGCTCCACCACCCGGACCGACGAGCGCAGCTCCTTCTCAAACCACGGCTCGTGCGTCGACCTCTTCGCGCCAGGTTCGTCGGTTGACGGCGCCTGCACCACGAGCGACTCGTGCACGCGCGCCGCCTCTGGAACCTCGATGGCATGCCCGCACGTCGCGGGCGTGGCGAGTCAAGTTTGGGCGGCACACCCGTACTTCACACCCGCTGAGCTGGCGGCCGCCATCGACTGCCTCGCCACGGCGGACGTGATTGACGACATGCCCGCTGACACTGCCAACCGGCTCCTCTACAATGGGTTCGCGGCGGACACAAACGGCTGCCTCGTGGGCCCCCCCACGCCGCCCCCTGCACCACCCCAGCCGCCCCTCCCGCCCGCGTCGCCGCCGCCTCCGCCCAACGGGCCGCCGCCGCCCTCACCGCCGCCCTCACCGCCTCCGCCGCCCTCGCCGCCGCCGCCGCCGCCCTCGCCGCCGCCCTTTCCCTTCACTTGCGAGGGCGAGCACGTTGGGGAGCCAGGCTGCACAACTTACCAGCCGCGTCACTGCACCCGGTGCCCGACTGTCGTCGTTCAAGCCGGCGGGGCGACCTGGCGCACAATGTGCCACGAGCGAGCAAGCGGGGCGGGAGCCCAGCGCATCTCTGCCACTGCCGTGGGCTGCGAAGCCGAGTGCGCGTGCAAGTGCCGCGCCAACCTAGAGTGCGTGTCCTTCGATTGGAGGCACCAGAACGGTCAATGCCGCCTCTACCGCGCGGAGGTCAGCACGACGGGAGTGCCATGCAGCGTCCAGCAGCACTTTTGGTGGCTGCAGGATCGCCATCCAGCGCCGTCGCCGCCTGTGAACGCGACGTGGCCTCCCCCACCGACGCCCTCTCTGCCATCCGCTGCTCCCTCGCCGCCGCCCTCGCCCTCGCCTCCGCCGCCCTCGCCTCCGCCGCCTCCGCCGCCGTCGCCCTCACCTCCGCCGCCGCCGCTGCCGCCCCCGTCCGCTGCTCCGTCGCCGCCGCCCTCGCCCTCGCCTCCGCCGCCCTCTCCCTCGCCTCCGCCGCCGTCGCCCTCGCCTCCGCCACCTCCGCTGCCGCCGCCCCCGTCCGCTGCTCCGTCGCCGCCGCCCTCGCCCTCGCCTCCGCCGCCCTCGCCTCCGCCGCCTCCGCCGCCGTCGCCCTCGCCTCCGCCGCCGCCGCCGCCGCCGCCCCCGTCCGGTGCTCCCTCGCCGCCGCCCTCGCCCTCGCCTCCGCCGCCCTCGCCTCCGCCGCCTCCGCCGCCCTCGCCTCCGCCTCCGCCACCTCCGCTGCCGCCGCCCCCGTCCGGTGCTCCCTCGCCGCCGCCCTCGCCCTCGCCTCCGCCGCCCTCGCCTCCGCCGCCTCCGCCGCCCTCGCCTCCGCCTCCGCCACCTCCGCTGCCGCCGCCCCCGTCCAGTGCTCCGTCGCCGCCGCCCTCGCCCTCGCCTGCGCCAACTCAGCCATCCACTTTCCCTCCCGCGTGCACACACACCGTGCGCACTGGCGCGTCAATTCGGGGATTTGTCGTCGGCACCGTCGTGTACGGCTCCGGAGGTGTCTGCGAGTGCGTGGCGGCCTGCAAGAACCACTCCGAGTGCGTGGCCATCGTGCACAATCGGGAGCAAGACCCGCCCAACTGCAGGCTCAAGAGCGTGGCGGACACCTACGAGCGAGGTGACAAGGACGTCCTGTTCCCGTCGCTCGCCCCGCCGCCGCCTACCTCTCCGTCCGCGCCGCCGCCGCCACAGCCTCCCCCTCCGCCGCCGGGAGCTGCAACTCCACTTCGGTTCGCGACGTGCGGTCGGGCAGGCCGTTGCTCAGAGTCCGCGCGCTGGGCAGTGCCGTCGGAGCTGCACGAGGTACGTTGCTGCTCCGAGACGAAGCTCGGCAGCACGTGGCGCCGCTGGGGAGGCTGCTCTGTCTGGTCCGAGTCGGACGGGGCCGAGATGGGCGGCTGCCACCACGAGAAGAATTTTACCGAGGCGGAGGCCATCTGCTCCGCCGCCGGCGCCCGGCTCTGCACAACGGAGGAGCTGGAGGGCAACTGCGCGAGGGGCACCGGCTGCGGGCACGACTCTGATTTGATCTGGTCAGGAAGCCTTTCAGCGTCACTCCCGCCGCCTGCAGCCCCGCTGTCCCCCCCCACCGGCTTGTACGAATGCGCCGGCGACATGTCGGCGAGCTGCGACGCCGCGACGCCCGTTCGGCCTTGCGCGGGTGGCAGCGCAGACGCCGAGCAGGTTGAGGCGGGAGGGGCGATCTGGCTCGTGGATGGGCACCGGCGCGGTTCGGGGGTGCCGGAGGAAGCACAGCTCGATGTTGTAAAGGCGAGTCCAGCCCCGCATGGCCGTAGGCGCACAGCAGCTTCCCATCTACCCCCCCCCCCCCGGTGCATGCAGGTGGGGTGTGAGGCCGACTGCGTGTGCCTCTGCCTCGTGACGGAGAGCTGTTTCGCCTTTGACTACCGTGAGGCGAACAACGAGTGTCGCCGCTACAATGCGGCGGTACCGACAACCGACGTGCCCTGCGAAAAGGGACAGCACTACTGGCACCTGGTGGACGCGGAGCCGGCGGCCACGACAGACCTCCTCCCTTAGGAGATGACTGCGGTCGCAGCTTGCAAGGATCTTGACGACAGACGCAGCTGAAGGGCCCAGAGCGGCTGCTTGTGGTCGAGCTCGCGAAGAAAAAGTGCAAACGACAAGGACGCGTGAGCGAAAGTAGAGGCACACCGCTCGTCGCGCCTGTCTGGGGTGGTGTGTACAAGTGTACTGTCGACTGTAGTGGCTCGACGTATGACGTACGGCTGTGTCGGAGTCGCTATCTGTGTTCTTGTACTCTGTGTTCGCGGGGGTGCCCTCAAGGAATGAAGGAATGAGTATCTCATTGCAAAGAGCCGTATCGGCTATCGCGCCCCGCCCCCCCCCCGTGGGTTTCAAATTCAATGACGACTACATCATGAGATCGTTTTGTGACGCAAACGGATCGGAGAAGGCGCGGGACCGGGGGAGAGTGCCCCCGCCCAAGGAAACACGCAAAAAAGAGACGCGAGGCCACATACATGAGAACATGACCCGCGTTGTGAGAGGGACGCGTGTGGCGTGAGCTGCTGGGCGAGACCGCGAGCGAAGCGTCCGCGGTCCGGCGGGCTCGGAGTGTTGTGCCTGTGAGCCCGCGCGCCTTTTCCCTAGCTTTTTGTTTAGGCCACGAGCTCAACAGCACAGGGGGCAGGGGGAGAGGTGCCACCTCGGCCACAAGGGGATGGGACGAGAGCTGGAGTCCGCTATCGTCTACTGGTAGGGGTCGCTCGCTATCCATGGATGTTGCAGCGCCTGCTGCGCCGTCGGCCGCTGGTCGGGGTCCACCTTGAGCAGCGACCCGACGAAGGAGAGGAAGAGCTTGTCGTCCGAGTGCAGCCGGTGCCGCAGCGAGGACGGCTTCGGCCGGAGCAGGCAGATGGCGCCGGAGGCGTCGCGCTCGTAGGGGGTGTCGCCGACGAAGAACTTGTGCGTGTGGCGACCGCGCTCAAGCATCCGCTGCGGGAAGGGGCCGAGGATGCCCACGATCCTACGGAAAGGGGGGGGGGGGGGGCTTAAGGCTGACTCTGCCCGAAAAGGGGGCGTGCGCAGCCGCCCTCTCGGCAGCGCAACGCGCGCGCGATCTGGGCGCGATCTCGGGCGCACCTCGCGAGCATGGTGGCGAGGGAGTCGTTTTGGAAGAGCACGTACCCCGTGTGCAGCTCCGCGAGGATGGCCCCGAGCGACCAGAGGTCGATCTTTTGGCCGTAGCCGAGCCCGAGCACCACCTGCTCTCGTGGGCAAGGGGGGGGGGGGGGGTGGCTATGACTCACGCCGCGGAGGCAGAGCGCGAGAGCGCGAGAGCCTCCGGCGCGCGGTAGGAGCGCGACTGCACGTAGGAGGAGAGGTGATCCGTCGTGAAGCAGGAGGAGCCAAAGTCGATCACCTGCCGAGAGCACACGAGAGGAGGCGGGGGTGTCCCTTGCCGCCGAGGGTGTCCCGAGGTTGCGCGAGGGGCGTGGTGGCGACCACCTTGACCTCGCAGCGCGAGTAGGACTGGATCAGGATGTTCTCCGGCTTGAGGTCGCAGTGGATGAGGCCGAGCCTAGCCTCCACCGATCTCGGGTCATCTCGCGTCATCTCGGCGGATCTGCAGCGGCCCCACCGGTGCACAAAGACGAGATATGGGGAGATATGGGGAGATATGGCACCGGCGCCCGGTGCACAAAGACGAGCTCTTCTTTTCACAGCTAGTACTCACAGCTAGTACTCACCGGTGCACGAAGACGAGCGCCTCCAGGCATTGCTTGGCGATGCGGCGGAGGCGCGGCAGCTGGAAGTACCGCTCGCCGCCAGAGTCTCGGTTGAAGCGCGAGAACTCGTACCTGCGAAGGCGGGGGGGGAAGAGGCGGGAGTGCGGAGTCGCGGCCGGATCGAACGCACAAGTTGTCCCAAACATCTCGGCCGATCTCCGGCCGCATCTCGGCTGCATCTCGGCCGCGTCTCGCACAAGTTGTCGCGCAGCAGCTCGCAGACGAGGAAGAGATGCTCGCGGTGGTAAAAGTAGTCGTACATGCGCAGCACGTGGTGCTCGTCGCGCGGGTCGTGCCTCAAGGGGGGGGAAGGGGAGGCAGGCGGCCCGAGGTGAGGCATCCCCTCCACACGTGAGCCGTGGGCAGTCCCGTGGGCGAGGCGACAGCCAAATCTCTGGCGAGGCGACAGCCAAATCTCCGGCGAGGCGACAGCCAAATCTCGAGGTCTCGAGGGGCGGAGAAAGGGACGAGTCGCGGCCAGCCGAGCCCGGCGGCCCTCGGGCGGCAGGTCGCTCGCTCACTTGCGCAGGTATCGCAGGAGCTTGATCTCGTCGAGCGACTGGTCGAAGAAGTCCTTGTTGTTCTTGATGATCTTGATGCAAACCTGCGCGCGGCGCGAGATGGGGAGACATGGGACGAGGCGCTCTCCGCCGCAAGCTCGAGGGCCGTGGAGGGGCCGACCCCCTCCCTCCCCCTCCCTCCCCCTCCCTCCCCCTCCCTCCACCTCTCGGCGATCTCTCGGCTCCCGTCTCCGAGGATCTGCGGGGAGGGACCATCTCGGGCCATCTCGGGCCTATCTCGGGCCTATCTCGGGCCTATCTCGGGCCATCTCGGCAGGCGGACCATCTCGCCCGTGTGCAGGTCGAGGCACTGCACCGCCTTGGAGAAGGCGGCCGAGCCGAGGTACTCCTTGACCTGCCGGGGAGATCAGCCGAGGTCAGCCGAGATCAGCCGAGATCAGCCGGGGGCGAGCCAGCTCGCCGACCTGGTAGCGCGACGCGATCAGCGAGTGCAGCCGGATCGGGAAGTCCTTATTCTCCTGCGCACAGCGAGGGCACTGTGAGGAGGCGCTCTTCACGGCAGCCGCCTCGGCAAGCCCTTCCCTTCTCCTCGAAGCCGGTCCGCGCGCGCTCGTGCACCACCCGCAGCTCCAGCGTCTCGAACCTCGCCTGGCCGAGGCCATGTCTCGGCTCAGCCTCGGGGCTCAGCCTCGGCCGGAGAACGGCGCAGATCTCGATGAGATCTCGATGAGATCTCGGCTGGATCTCGGCTGGATCTCGGCTGGATCTCGGACTCGCCTCGGCGGCGCGCATCCGCTCCATCGGGTCGAGCTCCGGGTCGGACTCCTCGACCACCTGGCGAGGGGAACAGGGGCACAGAGGCCGTGACCTCACCACCTCGGGGCCCTCACGCCGCGCGACCATCCCCGGCCAACACCTCCTCCTCGCTCTCCTCGTCCTCCTCCTCCTCGCTCTCCTCCTCGTCGTCGTCCGGGGGAGGCCCAATCGGCGGACCCGTCTGCCGCCGCCTCCGTTCCCACCCGCTCGGCTCCTCCTCCTCGTCCTCCTCGTCCTCCTCCTCCTCCTCGTCCTCCTCAGCGCTGCCCCCTCCCAATGGGTACCCCGTCGCTCTCCTCTCCCGCCGCCCGCCCCTCCCCGCCGCCTCCGCCTCCTCCTCTCCCTCCTCCTCCTCCTCCTCCTCCTCCTCCTCGTCGTCGTCGCTCTCCGGCGGCGCAGGCGGCAAGCCCGTCAGGTTGCGCTTCATCTTTGGCGGCGTCGGCTGCTCCATCGCCTGCGGGACGGTGAGGCGAGGCGAGGAGGAGGAGTGAAGGAGAGGAGCGGAGAGAAGCGGAGAGGAGAAGAGAGGAGAGGAGCGGAGAGGAGAGGAGAGGAGCGGAGCGGAGAGGAGCGGAGCGGAGAGGACTCCACGCCTCCTCCGTGAAAGCGACGCCGCTAGCCTCTCGCACGCTGCTGCGGCAGCTGCTCGCGTCGGAGTCGCGGCCGCTCGACGCGCGGAGCCTCACCACCCGCTCCAGCGACCGCGCGAGCGCCGCCTCCGTCGCCTCCGCCTCCTCCTTCTCGCCCCCCTTGACCGCCCACCCTACGCCCGCTGCGCCCGCCGCCGCAGCCTCCTCCGCCTCGCCCGCCGCGCCGCCCGCCGCGCCGCCGCCGGCGATGGCGGGCCGCGGCTGCAGCGCGCTGCCCCCTCCACCTCCCGCCTCCGAGGAACAGCTCTCGCCGCCGCTGGCCATGGCGGCGGCGGCGGCGGCGGCGGCGGCGGTGGCGGCTGCAGCAGCCGGGCTGCCGGCAGGGGCGGTGGCAGCAGCGGTTGCGGCCGGGTTGGGGATAATCTCGAAGCCAGCGCGTGCTGCGGTGCGGGGTCTGTCGGCACCTGGCACGGACAGCGGCGCCCGTCTGTTCTCTCGCCCCCTCAGCTCTCTTGCACTCCCTTCTCTCTTCTCTGCTCCACCCCTCTGCCTCTAATTGCCGCTCCCGCCGCCCCTCTGCACCCCCTCCACCGCTCTCCCTCTCGCAGCGCTGCACCCCGCAGCGCGCGCCCTGCAGAGGAAGGAGCGGACCCTCCCTCTACCCCTCCCTCTCTGTCTCTGTCTCTGTCTCTGTCTCTGTCTCTGTCTCCCTCTCCCCTCACCCGAGCTGCAAGCGGAGCCCGCAGCGCTGTGCCCCGACGGCGAAGATACGGATCGAGGATTGGAGCAGCGCGAGGAGCGAGAGGAGCGGGAGGAGCGCGGAGAGCGCGCGCCCGCGGCGGCGAGCCGGTCCGTGCTCGGCGCTCCCGCGCTCGCCTCCTTCTCGTACCCCAAGTCCTCGTCGTCCTCCCACTCGTCAACATCCGGGTCATCGTCGGGGTCGTGGAAGCGCGGTGGAGTTCCGTCCGTGTCGGGCGGCGCGACGAGGGGGGCTGGCGCGTCGGGCGCGTCGCCCGCGCCGCCGCCGCTGCCGCGGCCGCTCACGTTGGCGTGTGCCACCAGCCGCTCGAGCCGCGAAGAGGCGTCGGCGGTCAAGCCTGAGGCGGCAACCTCGCTCCTCAAGGCGGCCTCAGCCTGGTGGAGGCCCTTGGTGGAGAGGAAGTCGAGGATCAGGTCCAACGTGCTTTGCGTCATTCTCTTCGCGGGAGCCCCGGGCAGCGAGCCGGCTCGGCGTGTGAGCCACAGAAAATTACCAGTCGCTCCGGCCGGACCATGATGTGCGGTTACCGACTGCACTCCAAGTGCTCCAAGTTCAGCGGAGCTGGGAATAGGACCGCCGCAAGCGGCGTGGCGTGGAGCGGTTGCGCATCCCTCCGGGGGCCCCTCTGCGCCGGGGAGGCGTTGTTGGAGGCTAGGACGCAAGCGTCCGTCGCCCTTTTCAAACTCGGGGCCCACTCCGCTACGCTCCGACCCGAATTTGGAGGGCCTAAAAGTTTAAGGTGTTCCTGCGCAAAAGGGGTCGGACACAGGGCGCAGCTCATGCTAAGAGCTAGAAGGGGAGCTAGAGAGAACGACTACCCTGTCCCATTATTGCGTACACCAACACCACAAAAGCTCTCTCTCTCTCCTGTCCTCACTCAGGGCGGTCACAACTACCGAGTCCCTCGACTAGCTGCCACGTTGCCGACCGAGAGCGGATCTCCTCCTGCTCCGCAAGGAGGGTGGCCAAGGCTAAAGTCTTGCCGGAGCCGCCGGGCGCGTTGACGACTTGGAGAAGGTCGCCCTTGTACTTGTACGTTGTCGAGAAATGCTCGAGGGGGTGCTTTGTGGGGCGGTGCGCAGCCAGGCCAGCAGTGAGGGGAGGCGCACCCTCACTCTCCTCGGTTGCAGAGCTCGTCGGAGGCTGCGGCACGACGGGAGGGTCGCGACAGCGCGACAAGCAGTCCTCGGGCGAGCCGACGCGCATGTCCAACCAGCGCTGGGACTCGTTGTGACGGCAGACGCCGGCTGCCTCTCCAACCGCTTCTGCAGCTTCCTTCTTTGCCCGGTGCATGGGCTCGATCCGATTCCGCAGCGTGTCGTCCCCAGCGGCGGTGCTGCGCGGGAGGCGGCCGCGGGCACGCTGGGCTCGATCAGCGGCTTTCCCTCAGTTGCTCCGAAAGCACGGATTTGGCGGACGTTCTGGGCTTCAATTTTACGGATGTCTTGGCACCAGCTGAAGGCTTGCCCCCGTCCATGGCTCAGATCACATGGTTTCTAAACTCGGTGTCGAACCACCAGCCCGACGCTCACTACAAGTGACTGCACGGTATTCGGATTTTGCTATTTGCTCGTGTGGGGGTATATTGCTGATTTGTCAATGGTACCGCGTCTGCGACGCGGGCGCCTTGCGGGCAGAGCCCTTAGCCACCCTTTATATCTTGCGCGGTCAAAAAATGTTTGTTGATCGGCTCGGTAAGGAATGACTCAAAGAGGTCGAGCCGCGCTAATGGGGTGTCTCCGAGCTTACTGGAGCTCTGATGGACGCGGCCCTGACTATGAATCCCTGACACACAGAGAGTCACTCCGACGGCACACAACACCCTATAACTGCGTCATGACCAGCCTGCCATGCGTCGCCGGTACCGCATTCGTCGCAGTGCTTCTTTAGCAGGCGGTGGACTGTCGGCTGCGAGGACGGTCGCATTTGCGCGAGGCGAGGCGATCATTGTTGAGCGTTGCATGCGCCATGACTCGCGCCAGCGCGTGCGGGAGCCCCTGGCTGAGCGTTGAGTCCAGGCGAGTTGCGCTGGCCACTATCGCTACGCCGAGCCGAGCTGACGCGCCGAGGCGCCGGCCAGTCGCAGCCGTGAGGCATGCCACAGCAGCAGAGGCATCTGCCACCCATTGGGCGGGCAGACAGAAGGCCAGGGCAGCACCGGCAAGTGCAACGCGCCTCATGTCGGAGAGCGACCGGACCTCCTTCGCCGGTTATGATGTAGAGTTTGTTGTAGAGATTTCACGTTGTAGAGCGCCTCTACATCGCTCTACAACCCAACGCACGCAGTTCGTCACGCGGTGGATGTAGAGCTCTACAGCTCTCTACATTGCTCTACAGCGCTCCAGAGCGCTCTACATCTCTACAGCTCTACAGCGCTCTACACTCTACATCATCTACACCCTCCCTCGGGATCGGAGTCAGAAGAGTCGTCCTGGCGCGAGGAGAGCTCGATAAATTCGAGGGGCCAAAATACGCCGCGAGGAGGGCGGAGTTGCGCCGAGAGGCGGGAGAAGCCGCGAGAGCAAAGGGATCGGCGGGCGGCGGCGGCGCCGCAGAACGAGGCAAGGGGGAGAGCGACGCGACAGAGGATAGAACAGGCAGGGAGGGGCGCGGTCCCTTGTCAGGAGCAGGAGAACTAGGAGAGCGCAACCAGTAGGAGGCCCGCGCCTGCCCCCGTGCCGCCGCGGGTGCAACGACTTTGTCCTATACGAGAGAGGAATCCCTGGGACCCTGTCGTGTGGGTGAACCCTGCCCAGGCCCCAGCCGCAGCCCCCCTCCGTCTCGTCGCCGGTCGTCCGTCTCGCGATGCGCTCCCCCCACTCTCTCCCGTCCTCTCGCCGCTCGGCCCCCTCTGTGCTCTGTCCCTGTGTCCCTGGCGCCTGGGGGATCTCGCTCCCATCCCTCGAGCCTCGTTTGGGTTGTCTGTTTTCTTTCTTTCTTTCTTTGGGCCACCGAATAAAGAAACTCGTGCCCGCTAACTGTTAGCGGTGAGCACACCATTCACCCAGGCTGCCCGGGAGATGCACCCGCGCAGCTCTCGCAGCCTCTCCAGGCGCGCCGCCTCCGCCCCCGACCCCGCCGCCTCCGCCGCCGCCCCGCCGTCCGGCAAGCCCAAGCGCTCCGTCAGCGCGCCGAAGGCCTCATTCTCCTTGGACGCGCCGCCCGCCCACGCATGCCGCACCCACCTCCCCACCGGCGAGTTGATCTGCCGAAAGTCGGCCTCGCCCACCTCATGCGCGTGCTCCTCGTAGGCGGCGGTGCCGGGCGCGCGCGCCACCGCCGCCAAGCATGCCTGCGACTAGAGGCGGCCGTGAGGAGACCGCATCTCGACTGCATCTCGGCTGCATCTCGGCTGCATCTCGGCTAAGGCCAGGCCTGCTCCCAGAGGCGGCCATGCAGGAAGAACTTGCGGCACGTGCCGTTGAAGGGACTCGCCCACCTGTTCACAGGTGCAGGTGTGAAGAGACTCGAGAGGCCCGGCCAAGGCAGTGTGTGTGTGTGTGTGTGTGTGTGTGTGTGTGTGTGTGTGTGTGTGTCTCACCAGGCGCGTAGCAGCGGCGCCAGGCCCGGGTGGTTGAGGTTCGCGAACATGACTCCCGTGTTGAGCTGCGTCTGAGGGCATGCAGGGCGGTGGGTGAGGGACAACCGGTAAGAGGGGAGGGAGGGAGGGAGGGAGGGAGGGAGGAAGGGAGCGAGCGAGCGAGCGAGGAGAGAGGAACGTTGGAAGCAAGAGTCGCTCGGCCGTGTGTCTCAGCCGGGTGACTCGGAGACGCCGTGTGTCTCGCCGATTTGGCCGGGCGTCTGGGCGCGCCTGTGCGTGCGCCGGCACGTGGATCACGCCCGGGATTGAGTACGGCCGGGCGCAGACGAGGGCGAGGCTCTCCATGCGCGCCTGACAGAGAAGGTAAATCGTAAAAAAGACAAGTCTGCAGCGGGCGCGAGGCTCTGCAGGCGCGCCGCAAAGGCGGCGCCCGAGGCGAGGGTCTGCGGGTCGGGCTGCTGCGCCGTCAGCTGGAGCGGCATCAGCCGGCGCAGCAGGTCGGTACCTGCCGGCGCGCGGACGAACGCGTCCGCGTCGAGCAGCAGCGCCCACGCGCAGCCGTCGCGGCGCTGCTGCTGCGCTGCGCTGGCACCTCCGCCTCTGCTCCTGCTGCGGTGCTGCTCCTCTATGAACTGGAGCACGCGCACCTTCCACCTGCCGCCGACAGAGCCAGAGCGGCGGGTCAGGGGACCAGCTCAGGAGCAGCGGAGCAGGGCATCGGGGATCGGCGCAGTGCACCAGGCGTAGTGCCTCGAGGAGAGCACAGGGCCGAACGGCGGAGTGAAGAGGCGGAGGCGCATGCGGGTCGCGTTGCTGTTGGCGGTGCGGACGTAGCGGAAGTTGGCCAGGGCGCTCTTCACGAAGTAGGGCCAGGACTGCGGCGGCTCGCGAGCCAGCCGGTGCAGGTCCAGTGTCCGCCAGCCCTGGTGCATTGACACGACAGTGAGAGTGCAGCGGTCTGGCCCGCCGGCCGACCACGAGCGGCCCTCCCATGGGTAGGAGCCCCACGGCACGGCGCGCTTCGCTGGGCGTGGCCCCACGTCGAGCGAGCGAGCCGAGTCGCGTTGCGTGGAGCCGCTCACGCCACGTCGGAACATGACACCGGGTTTCTAAACGAGAAGAATTTTAGGACCAAGCCCCTTCACCCTTGGGTTTCTTGCCGTCGTGCCTGGGCAGTGTGCTGGGGCGGGTCCCCAAGGGTGAACCAAGCCCCTCTCACAGCAGAGAAGAATTAGCCAAGCCCACGCCTTGCTTGTTCTTTTTTTCCTAGCTTCCAAGATCCTTGCTCTGCAACACTGCAAGCGGTGAGGGGAGAGTTGTCCTTCTCCCATCCCTAGTTTGCTTTCTTTCTAGATCAATACGGGGGACCAGAGAGCGGGGACGTGTGGGGGATAGCGCTAGCCGGCAGCACACGCCGCTTCTTCGTCCCCTTTTCACGACACGCGCGCACTGACCACTGTACCACCGTAGTACACATTATACACACAGCAACTGCGGTAAAATTAACCCGGACAGATCAGAGGGAGAGATTTTTAGAAGCAACAAGAATGTGGTACACAGAGAGAGAGAGACTCTCTCTACACACAGTGATTTGGAGCAGCTTCTTCAGATCAGTGCAACAGTGGAGAGTGGTGTGCAGTGGTGCCTCGCCCTCAATTCTGTACGAGACTGTGCCCACAGTAAAATGATCGAACCATCGTGCTCATGAAGCATAATCCCGGTGGTATCGTTTGGACAGCTCAAAAGTATCAAATGAATGCTCTTCTATGCGTCAGAGTTGCTGAGCCACTCCAAGACGCGTGGTTCTGCCTCGAAATGATCTCATCTGCTGCGGCGACAATTTCCTCGCTGCCGGCACCGTATGCTTGCGCGAGTCCCACTTCACACGGAACGCGATCCGTCTTGCTCTCAACGGTCGCTGTCGCGCTGAGGTTCCACATCTTCTCCGGGGTAATCGTGGAAGAGACGCACGTTCCTCCACGGCCGATAGAACGCGGCGAGCCGCTGCTTGGTTGCGCAATCGATGGCTCTGACAGCGTAGCCCAACCGCCCTTGCTCGGCCGCAATGTTCCTTGCGGGGGCCACGGCGGCCGACTTCGGCGCGGGGAGGCCAAAATGCGCGAGCAGTCGTTGCTGGAAGAGCGCTGGCGAGTCCCTCATCTGATCGAGGCTCATCACCAGGAACTGCTCGCGCGCGAATGGCCGTGCGAAAACGGTGTCGCCTAATCTCGACGCCTGCCACCGCTCCAGCTGAGGCCAGAACAGGCCGTCTGCAAGCTGAGTGCGAAATCGGCAAATCGTGTAGATACGCATGCTCCATATGCTCCACGTACGATTTCTTGGCCGGTAGTGCGCAGCGTTGCCAATCGGCCATCCCGCGGTGGCTGATTTACTCAAACAGGGCGGTGTTGTTGCGGCTCGATATGCTTGGCTTGGCGAAGAATTGGTTGAAGGCCGAGATCTGGCGCGAGGGCGCGACACTGGCTCGCGTACGACGACGAACATCTTGACGCGTACAGATTCCGCGCTCGTGAGCATCGCGTGCAGGTTCGCCAGGGCATAGAACGAGAGGACGTTCCGGGGGGTGCCCTCGGCGAAGCAGCCAGACTCGCAGCTGTCCCCGGCGGAAGAAGCTGGTGCCTCCGGTCGACGACAGCCGAATTTTGCTCCAGGAAGTGCGTCTCCTTGTTCATGAACGTACCGAGGCTGCTGCCGCACACCCCGGCCTGACTAACCATTTGCCAGACGGAGGTCGTGCTGCACTTCTGTGCGCCCAGCACATACAGTAGAGGCAGCTCTCGGCCAAAGCAAATTAAGATCCGCCGCCGCCGCGCAAGTGTGAACGAGGTGCGGTTTCTTTGAAACCAGAGCGCCCGTTGGGCAACGCGGCGCTCGCACTAGCCTCCAGACAAGGGCGCCCCCCCCCCCCCGGCGTTACGGAGTCTGTTCATAATGGCAACCGTGGCGCTCCTCAACCAACTGCTCGTCGGCTATGACTCCCTAGTGCCTCCCACGTCGCCGCTGATCACTAATGCCTCCGCCTGCTCTGCGGCCGGTGCGCCCACCGTGGTCATGGCTGACTTCCAGGCGCTGCCCTCATCCGCTGCCACCCTTCCCTCCCCTCCCCAGCGCCACCCTTCACTCACTCGACGGCTGCATCTCACTCCACTGTTTGCGCCGCTTCCAGTTGCTCAGCATGCACTCGGTCAACGAGCGGGAGCGCTCCTACACCATTGACGGCTACTTGGTGCTGCAGTGGAGCGACCCGCGCCTTGAGTTTGGCAACCTGTCCTGCCGCGACGCCATCGCCCTCCCCTCCTATGCGAACACCGACACAAAGCTCTGGGAGCCGGGCGTCCAGTGTATGGAGACTCTCCACGAATCGGTCGGAGGCAGCAGCGGCGCGACCCACATCGCTGGCGAGTCGCTCGTCATCAGCCGCAATGGCACCGTCCTTTGGAGCCGACGCGCGCGCTACAAGCTGCTCTGCGACACCTTCAACTTTGGCCGGATGCCCTTCGACGAGCAGTTCTGCATAGCGACCCTCCGCTCCTTCCCGTACAACGAGGAGTTGGTCCAGCTCGAGTGGCCAGATTGTGCATCCAACCCCGTCGCCTGCGGTGGCTCGGGCCAGCTACAGCCGTACCACTCGGGCGAGTGGATCGTCACAATCGTCGATCAGAGAACAGTGACCGAAGCCGATGGCCACAGGGTGCATTGCTTCCCCATATTTATCTCATACGTGCACACTCGGCACGCCTCAGCTGCTGCGGCAGGTGGCACGCGTTTGCATCATGCTCGAGCGGCACTCCAACCTGCTGTCCCTCTCGATCACCATCGTCATCCTCCTCGTCATCGCCGCCTATTGTGGCTTCTTCATTCCCGTCTCCGCCGCCCCGGCGCGCGTGGCCATCGGCTTCCTCTCCTTCCTGATGGCGCTACGAAAGCTTGGTGTGCTTGCTCTCTCGGGCGTGAGCGCCGTCTATCATCTGGACAGTCGTGAACAGGTGTTGAACCAGCTCTTCTGGGCAATGGGCCAGGTGAAAACGAACCTGCCACCACCCAAGCCCCTGCCACACCCGCGTGCCAGAGAATGGCCTTCTTTAGAGCCTCACTGAGTTCTCGACGCTTTGCCGCCCCTCTTCTCGCCCGGTGCAGATGCCGCCGCTGCTCGATCCTTCCGAAAATTACCGCGTTTGGATGATCGACTTCCTGTGGGGTTCTATGTTCTTCAACTGGCTCACCCTCATCGAGTACGGTCTCGTGCATTTTGGCCTCGAGTGCGAACGGCGCCTCGCCGCGGGTGCGAACGCGCCGCCCGCCGGCGAGCACGATGCCGCGCTGGTAGCACAGGACAAGGTCGGATCGCGCTACCAGCATGTCAAACTGTGGTGGATGCGCTGCGCCACTCGCTTTGTCGACCTGGACAATGTCTGCCGATGGGTCTACCCGCCAGCTTACTTCATCTTTTGCTGCGTCATGTACGGCGTCGTGGATGTGTATGAAAGCGGTTCGTGCAGGTGGTCCACATGACGGGACACGTACCCGCGGCTGACCCCCCGCCGTTCGATGCCGTCAGAAGTCAATGGTGTTGTCTCTGTTGACTGTCGTGTGGTGATCAGCGATGGCTTATACAAGTGCATCACTCCTTTGCATCGGGGAGTTTTGCGCGTTTTGGCTTTTTTCATTTTTGCGCGCCGCGTAAGCCCCGTAAGCGCGTTCGGGCTTGGCGGGCTTCGGCCGGGGCCGCGCGCGGGATTGTTTCCGATGTCGAGTTTTTACTCTATACGCCCCGCCCGCCCCTCAAATGACAAATCCTCCAAATCCTAGTGCCGTAGTCCAAATCCCCTCGGCCTCGCTCTCCCACACGGTGCCAGCCACCCGCGCTCCCCCTCGACTTTCTTTCCTGGCGAACCTGGCCCGCTGCTCTCTGCCTCTCTCTCGCGCGCTCCTCACTCACGACTCCACCGCCGCCCCGTCCTGCACCTCCCGCCGCAGCGCCTCGACGCCGCCCTCAACGTCACCGTCGAACTCGCGCACGAGCGACCTGTTCACACCAGCGGCTGTGATGAGGCGCCGTTCACACCTCGCCCTCGAGCTCGCGCGCAGGAGGAGGCCAGAGCACGGTGGGGCAGCGGCCGGCGAGGCCCTGCAGCGAGAGGAGCTGATCAGTTCAGGATCCGAGAGAGTTGGACTCGCGCGCAAGAGACGCGGCGTCGCTGCTAACGAGTGAGCAACCGCGTGTCTACCGCAGGTATCGCTGGGCATTGCTGTGCCGCGCTGCAGCAGCGGCGTGGCGAGGGCAGCAGTGCCTGCAGTGAGAGGAGGTGCGAGGTGGTGCCGCCGCGCGACGAGGAGCCGCGCTTGGAGAGCGCCTGCAGGAAGGGGTCTCGGAAGGCTCGGGCAGGGCTCGGGGGAGGGGGGGAGGAGCCGCGAGAAGCGAATGGCGCCGCCACGACACCCCTCAGCTCTGCGCGGTCGAGCAGCTGCAGTGTCTCGCAGACTTGCCTGAGAGGGAGGAAGGCGAGTAGGACTACCGACGCGCGGTCGAGCAGCTGCAGCGTCTCGAAGGCGCGCCTCCGGACGGCCTTGAAGGTGCAGGCCAGCTGCGGGCACGCCTTTGGGGTCGGCCGCGGCAGCGGCTCCAGCTGGTAGCTTCGACCTGTCCAATTCATTGGTCCATTCTTCATTGACCCATTCTTATCACTCGTTGGCCTCGACCACCACAGCAGCTGGCAGGCGGGGCCTTGGACGGCCGCGACGCGGAACTCAATCATCGCGTGCTCCGAGAGGAAATCGCCCGTCTTGCCTCCGCCGCGCGCCGCCGTCTGCATCGCCCCACTGCTCCCCGAGTAGATCTCTCCCGCATACTGCTCCGCCGATCGCGCCTTGACCTTGACCTTCCCGGCCGCCGCCGCCGCCCCGCCGCCGCCGCCGCCGCTGCCGCCGCCGCCGCCGCCGCCGCCGCCGCGTGCCTTGGCCAGCGTGAGCGCCTAGGTGTGAAGAGACGCGTTTCAGGCTGTGAAGAGCCGCTGCCGCGTCTCTGCGACGAGAGGGAGAGGCGCCAGCGGGTCGGCGTTTGGGTTGAGAGGGGGCGCGGCGGAGCGCGGAGCGGCCGACGACGACGAGGCCTCGCCGCCCTCGCGCTTCCGCTTCTTCGCCTCCGCCATCCGGCGCGCAAAATCTGACCCGCTGCCACTGTTGCCGCCACCGCCGCTGCTGCCGCCGCCGCCGCCGCTGCCGCTGGCATCGCCCCCGCTGCCGCCTCCGTTGACGACGCCTCCGGACGAGGAGGAGGCGAGCAGCCGGTCGCGCGGCGCGGCTCCCTCGGCCAGCCTCTGTGGAGCTGCCTTTTTGCGGCCGCCGCTGCCGTGCGGGTTGTGCGCCTGGGTGGGCGCGGCGCGTGCCTTGCTCACGACGAGTCGCGCTCCCGCGCCTACGAAGGACGAGGCCGCCGCCGCCCGGTCTCCGGCGAGAGGCTGCGGAGGGAAGCCTGACCGGAGCTCCACTTGCGAGGCAGGTAGGCTGCATGCGGCGGCGGCGGCGTCAATCAGGTCGCCGAAGCTCGCCCCGTCGGAAAGCTCGAGCGTCGTCACGCCCTCTGGGCCCTGGAGGCGGAGGTTCATAAGCACACACTAAACACACACGGGCGTGCTGTCGCAACTCTGTCGCACAGTCGCACAGCGTGCAGCGTGCCGCTTCTACTTTTTGAAATTTCTTTTTGAGCTCGCCTCGATGTTTACAGACGCAATGCGGACATGGCATATCGCTCTCGGGCCCACAGACATCCCGCACACCCGCCGCCCCATTCTTTTTTGCAATTTATCCCCTTTGGACGCGTCCACCCTCCGTCCAACATTCGCGATCCCTCTTTTATTTACACACACAAAAACAACTATTGCTAAAAATCTCTCTCACACAAACATAAATAATCCTGTAAATACAGGGAGGATCCGTCTGGAAAAAGGAATATGCTGAAGCCGCCAGGCACACAGCCACGTGGCATAGGAGAGCAGGAGGTGAAAGGAGGTCACCACGAGTTCCAAGGACGCACGAGTGAGAAGCACAGCAGAGCAGACAGATGACGATCACCACCCAAATAAATAAATAAAACGGACACACCCAAACGAGGGAGGGGAAGTCTCACCACATTCTTCTTTGCTGCTCTCGCCGGGCGCGATGCCAAGTCGCGGTCGCGATGGGCCCTGGAAGAGGAGGCAGCAGGCCTCCTCCTCCGCGCGCAGCTCGACGTCGTCATACGAGGATGCCTTCGACGACCCGGCCTTCTTCATGCACCACATCCTCATCTCGGTGGCCTTCTCTCCTCTCGACTACATCTTGCGGATGCGAGAGTGGGGCCTTTCCGACCATCAGATCGACAAGACGCCGCTGCTCATCTCGAGCTACCGCATCGCCTCGCTCCTCGCTGGCACATCCGAGGTGAGCGAGTGCAGCCTCGAAGAGCAGCGCTCTCACGCCGTCTCGTACTTCCTGCTCCTCACGCTGGCTCCGCCCCTCTTCAATGGAGGCAGGGCCGTCGTGCCGGGTACGGAGGGGCTCGACAAGGCGAGTGCTGCCCTCGCTGCCGCCCCTCTCCTCACCGCCGCCTTCCCCCCACCGCCGCTTTCGCCCCACCTACCCAGGCGGCACGCATGGAGCGGCTTGTGAAGGACCAACCCGCGCTGGCCGCGTACTTTGCTCGCGCGCGCTCGATCACCGGCCTGCACCTGCTGATACGAAGACGACTGCTCGAGCTCGACTCGCTCGGCGCGGAGCACTCGCGGGGCCACCGGCGAGAGCAGCGCCGCTCGCTCGCGCGCGGTGTCGGCGAGCTGCGCTTCGCCGCCCTCACCATCCTCGCGGTCCTGTACACGCTCGGCACGGTGCTGCCGATCGTCTTTGGCTCGGCGGCTGACGCCGGCCGCGCTCTCGGCCGGCGCTTCCACTCGAACGGGCCGTTTTCATGGATGGCGGGCGTGTAGCTGGGTCCGGCGCGGTCGCGCCATTGCACTGGAGTGGACCCTGCTGCATCAAATCTACTTGGTAATCAATGTGTGCGTAGTATACTCGAGTAAAAGACGGTCGTCACGGCTGTACAAAGCACATTGGCGCAGCGGCCCGCAGCGCACACACTCAGTGCACACAGCAGGAAGACTTCGGCTTCGCTACCTTCCAAGCTACTAGAGGGAGAAGGTAGGAATCGTCAATCGACCCTCTTCCAGTGCTCAATCAAGTGCTCACCTCAAGCTCAAGCGAGGGAGGGCGAGACGATCGAGGGGTCCCGTACCACGCGGAAAAAGAAAGAAAACAAACAACACAAGGGAGGGATGGGAGGACGGCACGCCGCCACCACACAGGGATTTTAAGGAGAGGAGTGTGGTGCTAAAAGAAAGAAAAAAAAACAGCCCAAGGGAGGGATGGGATGTGTGGTAAAAAGAAAGAAAGAAAGAAAACAGACAACCCAAGGGAGGGATGGGAGGACGGCACGCCGCCACCACACAGGGATTTTAAGGAGAGGTGTGTGGTGCGCTATCCGTCGCCCACCCTAGGGAGTCTGCCTCTTCCTATCTCTCTTCGCAGTCTCTCGCCGATTCTCGGGATGTGTGGTACTCCACGCGGAATCACGGCAAAACATTCTTTCGGCACCTCCGCCGTCGCATTTTTTGCCGCAGGGGGCGGCACATTGTATGCCGGGCCTCTCTCACATCGGCCGCCGCGTGGAGGTCAAGTTCTCCACCAACGGCAAGAAGAAGTTCTTTCCCGGCAAAGTCGCTTGCTTCGAGAACGGCGTGTGCAGCATCACGTTCAAAGACGGCGATGAAGTTGACGATATGCTGGATGAGGCGAGCTGCTTTGAGCGGTGGCGCTGGATCGACCACGACTGGGTGGGCCAGCCTGTCCGGCGGTACGTCGACAGTGGCGAGGTAGTCGGCCATGCAACAGACTCGCCGGCCGATGGTCGCATTGTCGGCTGGCTCAGCGCAAATGACAATGACGGCAGAGCGTTGTGGCACGTCGAGCTTCGAGCCGACGGCGAGAGGCTGGAGGAAGACCTCGAGGAGAAGGAGGCGGCCGCGGCGATCGCAGCCGCGGCTCCGCCGGCACCAGCGCCGGCAACGCCGGCGAAGCGCAAGGCAGCAGCTGCGCCGAAGGCAGCGTCAAGCTCGGGCGCTGCTCGCCGCAAGCAGGCGGCGGCGGCGGCGCCGCCGCCGGCTGCTCGCCGCAAGCAGTCGGCGGCGCCGTCGCCGGCGCCGTCGGCGAAGCGCAAAGCGGCGGAGGCGCCGCAGGTGGCGTCCAAGAGCCGCAAGCAACCGGCAGCGTCACGGGCCGCTGGGAAGCAGCCGCTTTGCGAGGAGGCTGCCGTCCCGCCTCCACCTCTGCTGCCGCCAAAGGTGGACGGAGCCGGCCGGGCAATGCGGGCACGGAAGCAGGTCGACTATGCTGCGGAGGAGGCCAAGTACGACAACGAGAGCATGGGCGCGAGCAGCGAGGAGGAGGAGGGGGGCGGGAGGGCGGTGCGCACGCGGCGGCAGAAGCAGCCGGCCTCGGAGGACGAGGACGAGCTGTACGAGGAGAGCGATGCTCGTCTTCGCGCCGACGGACGGCATCGAGGCGGCCGCGAGCGCCGTGGCGGGGCTCGGGCTGCCGACGGATGTCGCGAGGCCGGGCGAGGGGCAGGAGCGGGCCGCGGAGCTGGTGCTCGAGTTCGACGAGCCGCCCACCGAGCTCAGCGTCGCGCAGCGCAAGTGCCGCGTGCTGCTTCTCGCGTACGACGACGGCGCGGGCCTCAACCTGCAGCACGGCTGCCACCACGTCATCCTGTACGCGCCGCTGTCGAGCCCGCCGAAGGACGGCGAGAGGGTGATCGCGGCGGTCGGCAAGGAGCAGCAGTCCATCGGGCGCGTCCGCCGCGCCGGGCAGAGCAGCCACGTGACCATCCACCGCATCGTGCTCGAGGGCCCGGGCGGGGAAAGGACGCTGGACGGCCTGCTGCACGAGCGCAACATGGACGAGGCGCTCATCAAGAGCGCGACCAACACGGCCGAGTGAGTCGGAGGAGCGGCAAACGGTGAGCGGCGCGGAACACATGAAGTGCAACTCTCGTGATCATAGAGCCTAGTAACTAAAGCGGTCGCGGCCCGCTCCTCCTGCGACAAACTGCTTGTGGCGTGCGCGAGCCTGCCGCGCCTGGTCGGCCTTCCGCGACAGCTTCTTCTCAACTCCCTCGCTGGACACGCCCTGCAGGCTGCCCATGTCGGCGGCGACGCTTTTGCCGGAGCAGGATGGAGGAGGATGGCTGCAGCAGAGATCTAAAAGAAAAGGGCGAGTGATTGAGGGCGTGTCTGCGCCTCCCTCCCTTCACTTGGGTGCACCTTTTTCTTTCTTTCTGCGCCTCCTCCCCTCTCTCTATTTCTTGAGAGCGACGTGGACTGTAAGGTGGAAGCCACGTTGCGGAAATCCACTTCTACGAGGTCGGGTTGGTCTCCCCCGCCTTCAGCCCTGACCCGACGGGGACGCCATCACCCTCGCCCAGGGATCTACAACGCTGTCCTAAGGTCCGACAGGTTCGGCACCGGGCACCGCCTCGGTATACAAAATGCGCTGCGGGCGGACCGTGCAAATTCTTTTTTCCCTGTTCTTCGGTAAAGGATTGCTGTCGACTGGCTTGGGTGATCACTGCACGCCGTCGCGTCTTCAGAGCTCAATCCTGAACGATACTGGCGATTATATTGACCCCGCCTTGCTGCTCAGCGACAGGATGGCCGCCTGCCTGTCCAACACGCTTGCGGACCTCAGTCATGAAAGACGAAAGGTCGCGGAGCAGGCAGACGCGCTGGAGCAGCAAGCAGATGAAATCGAGCACGAGTTGACACGAGTGCCTTTCTGGCCAAGCGACGACTGGCTCGGCGACGGAGGTGCGGGATACGACTGTCCGACCGAATACGAAATCCTGCCGTACGCTTTGCTCAGCGTGCAAGCACGGGTTCGTTTGACCTCGCGAGCTGCCTCTGCACGACTGGCGGCGAGCTCACCGACTTTGGTGCCACCGCAGGCTTGGGTGAAGATGCAGGACCACAGGTTCACCGTCTTCTACTCGCAAAGCATCTTCAAGTGGGCCGCCACGATAGGGATCACCCGACGGTGCGCCAATGATACACGCACATCCACGCACACACATGCACGTCAAGGACACGCGCTCTCCTTTGCAGGCTCCTCGAAGTCGCACAGGCCAGCCTCAGCGGCGTCGGATCGTCGACGGAGGAGGACCTGCTCGAAAAGGCAGTGGCGGCTGGCGACGACGTCCTCTACCCGTATCTCGGTGACGGCCGCCTCAAAATCGGCGATCGGATCCGGCTCGGTGAGGAAGAGGAGGTGAGCTCTCACACACGGACACACTTCTGCCATGTCACACCTCGATGTCACACCATCGCCTGACTCTCAGGAGCACACCATCGTCTCGCTGGGCAAGCCGACCCGGACAGAGCCGGGCAGGAAGGGGGGAGGGGCGGGCTTCAACCTCCTGAAGGCGTACAGCTCGATCACGCTGGCGAGGCCCCTCCGTCTCCCCCATCGCGCGGGGACGACCATTGTGCGCGTCGTCGAGGCGCGAAAGCATCATTACTCTCTCCATCGTTGTTGTTTACGAAGGTGGTATCATCACTTCGCATCATGAATGCTATATGGCGAGTATGCCCGTCTGCGTCCTCTAGGCGCTCCCGCTGCGCGCCGTGTGGAGCGGCGGGGCGGGCGGCGGCGGCAGCGCCGCCTCGCAGGCGCAGTGCCAGGCGGAGGCGGAGGCGGAGGCGCGGGCTCGCCAGGTGTTCGCGCCGGAGCCGGTCTGGGTGCCAGGGCTGGGCGAGGCTCGCTGGTCTGTCGTGCCGTGGCTCGGCTGCCGCTGCTCGTGGCCGTGCACGCAGCTCTGCTGGCTGTCTGCGTGCGCGTGCGGCGCCCCGCACCAATCAAAGACGCCGCAACGTGGCGGAGAGCCTTCTCTCCGAGCCTCGCCCGAGTCTTGCCGCACAGGCGCCTCGCAGCACCTGGCGGCCCTCTTCACGCTCGTCACTCTCCTCTTCGAATTGATCTTGCTCGACGCTCTCGCGAGCCAGACGCCTCTCACAAGCAGCGGCTAGCCGTGAAGCGCGTGTCTTCACGCGCCGTGGCGGTGTGAGCAGGTGAGCCAGATGTTCATCGCAAACTGCCCGAGCCGGATCATGGAGTGGGAGGACTCCTCCTCTCTAGATGCGGAGCACGCCCCCTTGTACTCTAGCGCATCCCGTGTCCGGGGCCCTGCTCGGACTCTCGCGGCCAGGGCATTGTGTTGAGCGCTAGCACACCCTTCTGTCACGCGATGCGCCGGATGCACCGCACAAGACAGAGCCGCATATGTTCACACTCCGACGCTCGTGGCGTCTTCACACCGCAGGACTACCTCGTCGCTCCGCTGCCGGTCGCGCAGCGCGTCGCCGCCGTCTGCGCGTGCGCTCTCTCCCCGCCCGGGCCGTGTTTGGGATGCCCTCGGAGACCCTTCTTGGAGGCTACCCGGACGTCTCGCCCCTCAGGTACGTCCTCTTCCTAGACACTTCCAAGACACTTCAGAGACACTTCCTTCGCCCCTCAGGTACGTCCTCTTCCTAGACACTTCAGAGACACTTCAGAGACACTTCCTTCGCCCCTCAGGTACGTCCTCAGCTCTTCCTAGACACTTCAGAGACACTTCCTTCGCCCCTCAGGTACGTCCTCTTCCCGCCGCTGGTCGTGGGGTTCCTGTTTCGCGCCGGCGTAGGGATGCTTAGTCTTAGGGAGGCCGAGACGAACGCGGACCAGTCGTACTATGCCATCATCTACAAGGCGCGCATCTTGCTGCGCTCTCTGGCGGCGCGGCGGGAGGGCGGTACGTACGGCTACTGCAGCACTCTCTTCTACGCCTCCCTGATCGAGATACACTCGGTCATCGTCCCCGCGTACCTCGTCTTCCTCGCGCCCGCCATTGTCATGTTCGGCTACGACAACGCGCCCGCCAGCGCTGCACCACGCCGCCCAGCGCCCCACACTCAGCTGCTTGCTGGACGCCTCTCTTGCGCGCGTAGGCGCTGCACCACGTCGCCAAGTTCTTCATCATCATGCAAGTGATCGAGGCCTTCAACCAGAACGGACTCTACTTCCTCCTCTTCGCCCTCTGCCTCGATGCGGACTCCATCCCAGAGACGACGCGCTTCGTCGCCGGCAGGCGGGCGCCGAGATCCGCCGAGATCCGACCCGAGATCCGACCCGAGATCCGACCCGAGATCCGACCCGAGATGCGCCCCCGAGATCGGCCGAGATTGGCGAGACCCGCCGAGACCCGCTGCGGCTCCGCCGGGTGTAATCATCGAGCCGAGACCAGCCGAGGCGACGACGCGCTGCCGCTGGCGCAGGCGCGCGAAGACGGAGACGTACTCGGCAAAGTACATCTACACGTGGGTCCTGCTGCTCGGCATGTGGCTGCTCGTTGTGGCGCTCAAGTTCTACTTCACGATGCTCTTCCTCTGGCTGATCCCCCTCCTCGTCCTCATCTACGGCACCGCCCTCCACGCCTACCCGTACTTGTTCGCCGGCGTGGCCGCCTGCCCGCCGCACGCGGGGCCCGCCGTCGAGATGGCGGGCATCTGCACGCCCGCACCCATAGATGCGGAACTGCAGCACACGGGGCCCGCCGTCGAGATGGCGGGCATCTGCACGCCCGCACCCGTAGATGCGGAACCGCACGCATCCGTCTGTGTTCCAACTGGCGCGAGAGGGACGACACGCCCCATCCGGCTGCACTGCACTGTCTTCACGCTGTGAGGCTGGGGTGTGTTCTCAGCCTCCTCGCCTTCCTGCTCGTCTTTTGCGGCTACCGCGCCTGCTGGCTATTCCCGTGCCTCTGCGCACCAGAGGCGTGTGCCTCGCCCCACACCGACACCACGACAGCCCCGTCCCCTCGCCTCGATGTCCGCTCTCCGAACTGGATGATGCCTCCCCTCCCGCACGCAGGTGCCCGGCTGGATCTTCTTCCCGCCAAACGAGCCGCCCGACAACCCCATCCGGGGCGACGTCGACCTCCAGGCCTTCCGCATCTTGCTCGACCACCTGGGCAAGCCCTGGCCGGAGGACTGCGTCTGGGAGCCGCCCGGCTGGACGCCCGTGCGCGGGCCGCGGCTACCGGAGGTCCTGTGCTCAAAGTGCCAGAGGTGATTCACAGACCTTGTTATTGAGAAGAAAATACCTCCTACCTAGATGTACGGCTTTGTGTGTCGCTTCCATTCACACATGCTCATGCAAGTCCGTGACCATGTGGGTAAAGCCGTAGGTCTACAGTGTATAAAGCGCATGTACCGTCGTGCTCTCTCTCTGACTCTACGGCGAAACTCGGCGGACCGGTCGAGGACGTCGTCGGGCAGAAGTTTAGGCCCTACCACGTACCAGCTACCTCGTCAACGAGACGAAGGCGGAGCAGATGAATGAGCACGTGACCGCGTACCGTTCGTGGTTCGAGCCAATCGGTCTTTGCCATGCTGCATCGCAAAGTGGTTGGGACGCTCTTTCCTGGCGGCCTCGGCAACGGCACCCCTAAGGATCGGGCATTTGAACAAGGCGGCGAATTTGATGAACACGGTCAACATCTCGATGTTTGAAGAGCTTGCAAAACCGGATGCGGACGGCCGTGTTGCGCTCTCGGATGGCAAGGGTGACTGGGTGGTGCCCACGAACACGAACCTGGAGAAGCTACTCAGTGATAAGAGCCCGATTCTGGGTCACCAAATGGCAGTTCCTTCCCATGGTGGACAACGAACCAAAAGGCGATCGACTCCCGAGGCATGATCTGTCCACTGCCCCCCCCCCCCCCCCTAATTAGCGTCCTCCTCTGCTCCTTAGCGTTCCTCTGCTCCTTAGCGTTCCTCTGTCCATTGAAATGCGTTGTGTTTTACCTTCCCGTCTTGTTTTTTGTGTCGCCCCCTCCCACTTGTTTGGTATTGCTAAAAATCTCTCTCTCCCACTTCGGCTCAAAAAGGAAAGGAAGTCTGAGCTGTCCTAGGAGCTGTCGGTCAACCCCGCGGCGCATGGGCGCCGCGGAAGCTGCTCGACAGGCTGCGGGCATCGCTGCGGCAAAAGCGCCCGCCCTCTGCTTCGCTTTCGCCCGCGTTTTACGATAACTTTCGGGTTTTCATAGCCGCCGAACTTGAGCACTTGAGCACCGGATAGGGTCGATTCCGCATGGTACGGGACCCCTCCGAACTTTAGAGCTCTGCTGTTTCTTTAAGGTGTCTCGCAGCTCCGTATTCTCGTATCCTCGTGTTATCGTCGCGTAGTATGGTATTGCGTGGCGGTGCGTATTCTTTCTCGTATCACTAGCTCCGAGTAGAGGGCAGCGACCTGCAGTTAAGGGGAAACCTGGTACGCGGGGCTAACCCTCGGTGCTCGGAGAGTATTCTCGTATTACTAGCTCCGAGTAGAGGGGGCGCCCCGCCGCTAGGGGAAACCCGAAGCGCGGACAACCCTCGGAGACCCGTGTTATGGCCCTGCGACCGCGCACCCCCCAGGGCTAGGGCTCTCTAGCCCGTAACCCGATACCAATCGTCTGGCCAACTGAGTGCGCTTCTTAGCTCCCCGGTCCTGGGCGTGCGGTTGCCGACTGCACTTCAAGTGCTCCACGTCTGATAACAAGGATAGTGGGGCATGTGTCCTGCGGCCCTGCACGCTGCAGCGATTCATCGAGCGAAACGGACGAGGTGGCGCCCATCGGCCGGACCAAAAAGAAAGAAAGAAAAAGATAACCCCAGGGAGAGGGACCCGAGAGATTTTTAGAAGCCAACCAGAAATCTCTTTCGGACGCTTTCCCATAGTGCATAGAAACGTTTTCCATCTTCCAATCCACTTCGCTCTCAAGACAGATAGAGACGCAAAGTCGCGCGCGGCAGCGTCGACCGCACGGCCTACTCGCCCAAGTACTCGCTCTCTTTTATGTCCCACCATGCAGAGCGCATCTCTCTCTCTCTCTCTGTTGTGCGAGGCGTGAACCGCGCCATTCGCTCTCACCCTGGCAACCCTGTCTGCATGCACGTCTCGCGCGCGCGTGAACAGGTCCAGGCCCCAAATGACGTGTGAGTGTTAGAGTTGGTATTATTAAAAATCTCTCTCGAGTTGTTTGATAGAGATGGAAGAAAGAAAGAAAGAAAACAGACAACCCCAAACGAGGGATGGGGGAGGAGGACAGGGTCCACACCTGCACGAGCAGGATTTTGGAAGGAGGATCAGGGGCACAGGTGGGGCTCTCCTGCTCCTGACAGATAGAGATGGGCAGGAGGCCGCCACACGCAAAGAAGTGGATTTCCGCAACATCCGTGTGGCTTCCACCTTACAATCCACTTCGCTCTCAAGACAGATAGAGAGGAGAGGAGGCGCAGAAAGAAATAAAAAGAAAGCACCAAAATGAGGGAGGGAGGCGCAGGACAAACCCTCCTCCTGGCCCTTGTCTTATAGATCGAGGCTTTCAGAATTCTTATGATCTCTGCTGCAGCCATCCTCCATCCTGCTCCGGCAAAAGCGTCGCCGCCGACATGGGCAGCCTGCAGGGCGTGTCCAGCGAGGGAGTTGAGAAGAAGCTGTCGCGGAAGGCCGACCAGGCGCGGCAGGCTCGCGCACGCCACAAGCAGTTTGTCGCAGAGCTGCAGGAGCAGGCCGAGATGCTGCACAAGCGTTGCCGCGAGCTCGAGGCGGAGGACCGGGCCGCCGCGGTATGCGAGGGGCTCCAGCAGGCGCTCTCGCCGTCCCAGTGCGCCGCGCTGGAGCAGTGGCTGCGGGCTTCGCAGGGCGAGGACCACATGCTCCGGAGATACACGCTGCCTCCACTGCCGCCGATGCCGACACCGGTCGGGGCCTCCTCGCAGCCGGCCACGCCTGCGATGGGCCCCGCCGACGACGCGATGGATGTGGACGACGAGGAGGACCGCGGAAGCTCGCCCACATACGACCCCCTGGATATTCTCGGCACGCCGCATCCCCCCCCCCCCACACACACACACCCACGCCGGCGACACCACACGCCTGACGCCTGGCGGGCGCTGCCAGGCGCGCACTCGATTCTCAACATCAAGCACTCGCCGCTGGTCATGTCTGCCCCCGCACGGGCTCAGCCGGGGGGCGCCGTGCCGTCCTTCTCCCTCGGCGGCGGCCCAAGCAGCGTCTCGCCCTCACCTCAGGCGAGAGAGCCAACAAAGAGAGAAAACCAGGTGGTTCCCCCCTTGCCCCCCCACCCCCTCCCCCCGCACCACCCCTCCCGACTCCCCTCCCTCTGCCGCCGCCCCCTCGGCAGGGCCTCTCGTCGGGCGGCAACCTCTCCCGCAGTCTGCCGGGCGCCCCTCTCCGCGCGCCCCCAGCCTTCACGCCCGTTGCCTCGAGTGACCGGCGCGCTGCCCCGCCTACCTCTCCGCAACCGCCCACCCCCCCTACCGCCCCACTCTCCCCCCCCGAAACCTCTCTCCGCACCTGCCCGCCCCCCCACCCCCCCCACTCCCCCCAAACCACCCGCGCCACTGCTGACCCTCGCCATCGCTCACGCTTCACGCCCTTGCCCCGCAGGCTCGCCAGCCTCACTCTCTTCAGCATGATGGCCGCTCCCCGGCTCCCGCCGCCGCCCGCCCATCCATTCGCCTACCCCGCCGGCAAGCCTCCCGCGCCCGCGCCATCGTTTTTCGCCTCCAGGCCCGCCCCACCCAGGCGAGAAGAGCCGCCAAGCCTCACGCCGTTCGCGCCCGCCGCGCCGCCGCCGGCAGCGCCGCCGCTGCCACAGACGGTCTCCGCCTGTGCCGCCGTCCTTCCCGGCGGCGCCGCCGCCTCGTCTGACCCCGCCGCTGCCGCGGCCGCTTCCGTCGCTGCCGCTTGCGCCGCAGCCGCTTGCGCCGCGGCTGCGGCCGCCGTCGCCGCTCCGGCCATGGCGGGTGGCGTGGCGGGTGGCGTGGCGGGTGGCGTGGCGGGTGGCGCGGCGGGTGGGGCGGACGGGTCGGGCGGCTGGGCGGCGCCGCCGCCGCTTCAGACCAAAAAGACCTCGCGCGAGCTCGAGCGGCTGCAAGACACGCTGACGCCGGGAGGGCGGGACGCCGCCCCTTCTGGCGCCGGCAGGCACGCGGCAACGAACGGGCGAAATCGGGCGCAAAAGATCCCGGCGCAGTGAGGGGGCGGGGAGGGGCGCGCAACGCTGGACAGGCTAGCGAGGCGTCCACGCACGCAATATTTGTCGAGATCAGCTGAGGAGCGTCTCAGCGGCCTCCTGTCTGGGTGGGGGAGGGGACGACTAGGCATTGGCATCGGCTCTCGAGGCATTATGCGTCGGGGTCCAGCGGGGTCAGGCGCCCGCGCCCGTCAAGATGTAAGTGCGTAGGTTCTTGCTCTCTCTCACAAGTCACATGTGAGTGTCTGGCCCGTCTGAGTCCGCGTGCCGTGCGATGGTGCCACGGAGTGTCAGTCAAACGCATGTCCATGACCACACATACCCGGGTAAGATATTTGTGCTTTGCTCGTAACACTCGGCCCAACCGGCCAACGCGGCACATCCGGCAACGGCTCGTGTCCGTCGCGAGACGGCGCGAGAGTGCTCGAGTCAGATAGGACCGATACGACTAGAGTGTAGAGATACGACTCTCTCAAGACCACGGCTCTAGGTCTATAGCCGAGAGCGAGTCACGCGCTCACTGAGTGAGGTCACATACTGCCGTATGTGTGAGTCAAGACACGCCTCCCGGGACCTCTAGCTCCTGTTAAGCTGCTTCGCAAGGTTGTAGAAGCCCTCCGCATCACTCGCCAGCGCTGCGGACTGGTCGCTCAGCGCGCCGAGCCGTTCACCGCGGTCAGCAAGTGACGCCATTACCTCGGCACTGATGCCGGAGGCAGTGTGGTTGCGGCTGGTCGCGGCTGTGGGAGCCGCAGCACTCCGCTGGCCTCGGACGGCCGTGCCGCCCTTGGAGGGAGGCGGCGTGGCCTGCCTGCACAGGACCACGTTGAACCGCGCACGCAGCCCTTCGTCGGCCCAGAGTGTTCTCCCCGTCCACCCAAACGTTCCGCTACGCTTCGAGCGCTGAGTCTCGACTGTCGCCGCCTGGATCTCGTGCCCGAGGTCCAACTCTGTGCGCTGCAAGTCAACAGAGTCGAGGTCGAAACTTGTCTCCCACTGAGGACGCATGCACGGTAAATCAGCTGGTGTGTGTGCAGACGGGAACGTATAGCTGGCGGGAGTGTGGCGCCTGGCAAAAGTACACACGAAAGGTGGCCCGCAGTCCGCCTGCCACCCACAGCTCCTTACCATCCCACCCGAACGAGCCACTCGCTTTACTGTGCTGCGTGAGCACCTCGGCGAAGGCAATTGTGCCGCCAAATCGCAGCGACGCGTGGGCGTGGTTGACGCTGGCAAGTTGACAATCAGAGTAGCCGTCGCGCGAGGGCTTCTCGCCCGTTAACATGGACTGCACGGCGTTGAGCATCCCAACCTGAGGGGGAGGAAGAATTTCAAGTCGCTCTTACGTACATTCCCGGAGGAGGACAGCTGACAGGGTTTGCGATGAGGAGTGACCCGAAGGGTTTCTCGGGGTTAGTGCACCACTAACCGCCTCTGCAAGAGCACTGCGCCTCAGCGGGCTCATACTAATTTACACCAGGAGGAAGAAACCCGCGCGGAAATAGGATTCCTTGTCAGAGGACTCAGTGAATTTTTGTGCAACGCTTGTGGTAACCGACGCGCGCGCGCCGCATGGCTTCCGTGCCTTTCTGGGCTGAGACTCTGGGGGCGGATGTCCTGGTTGGCAGCGATTTCTCGAGCGGTGATGCAGCGGCGCGAGCGGCCTGCCGTTTGGCCGGCGCTTGTGGCCACACGGTTCTTGGCGGCCGTGCGTTGGTGTGTGGCAACGCCACCGGCTCCTGCGAGGGGCTAGTTGATGTGGGAGCGAGCATAGGCAGGGGACTAGCACAGCCCCTGGCAGCGAATCCAAGTCCAAGAGCCATCATCTTCACCGGCGATCAGGACTCGACCTCCACCCCTTTTGGTGCCATCTTGAGAGGCATCGCGAGCGGAGCTGGCTGCGGTTCTGGTGCCCGGGCGACGGAAATCGCCAGGGTGGCCAGGGATGGCGCCAGCGCGGCTTTGAACTGTCGGGCGCTGCTCCAAACGCTGACGTGCAGAACATTTCCAGCCGATTCGGACAAACTGCCTCCTTCGGGAACCACACAGCTCTGGACGGTGACTGAGACGGTAGGCGGGCCTCCGCAGGTCTCGGTGCGGCTACCGGCGTTGCGGCGCTCGACGCCGGTGTCGAATGCGCTGGTGGTGGCGCTCTACGCACCACTGCCAGAAGACACATACGAGAGAAAGCGCCAGCGCGCGACGGCGGAGGGACGGAGAAAGCTGCTTGGCCGCAAGTGCAGCTGCGCGGGCATGAGCAGCACCGAGGTTGAGGGCGTCCTTGCTCTCATCAACGCATCAGCGCGCATCGCTAGCGTGCGTTGGTACGTCCTCCCCGGCCACTCCGCCACGCCCGCCGACGACGAGTCAAAACGTGCTATCGCTGCTGCGGCGACGCTGCTGGGGGTTCGGGTGCCGCTTTTGCGCGATGCGTTGGCTTCGGACCTGGGCGACGCTCGGGCTTTGGCTTCGGACCTGGGCGATGGTCTCCTCTTGCTGATGCTCCACTGGGTGGTTGGCCATACCAACCGGTACCTTCGGAGCATATCCACCTCTCAAGTCTCACCAAAAGCTGCTGCGCCTGTGGAGCCGCCGGCTAGCGCATCCCGCCAAGAGGCAGAGGCCGAAAAGCGGCGCACCCGGCGTGCCCTATTCAAGGCGGCGCGCCGATCGCAGTCAGATGCCGCAGAGACAGCTTCCGTGACCAGCGAATCGGTGAGCAGCAGCTCCGGCTGCAGTCGAGACGTGCGGCTCCTCCTGCCGGCGACCCCAGGTCTGCCAGAGGGCGATGCGAGAGGCGCAGACGGCTTGCTCCATGCCCTCCTCGAGGAGGTCCACGCTATCGAGGTGGCTGCGGGCCGAGACAGCAAAGAGGCCAAGCAAGCGGCTCGCCGCCTCTCGGCCTCTCCCTCCGCGCCGCATGCAGAAGAGGATGCACACCACGCGGCGAGGGCACTGTCTTCGCTCCTCCCCGTCCTACTCTCTTCTTCGTCGACGTTTGTGCGGCAGGCCTGCGAATCGTTCAACTCCTGCTCATCCAGAATTTCCTGCTCAGCCGATGGGCACCAGTCCGTGTTGGCGGCCGCCGGCCTGGCGTGTGGCTCTCCGTTCTTGACGGTCCACTGCCTCAACGCAACTGCCACGGGCGAGATGGAGCGATTTGAGTCAAGAAGCGTCGATGAGATGCTTGCCTGGCGTGCAGAGTCACTGCTCTCGAGCCGGCCGTACGAGGCGTCTCTCGCATGGTGGGTTGGCCGTTACGGTGGGGTGATGCGTGGCGAGGAGTTCCCCTCCCCGCAGGCCGCCGTGGCGCACCATCTCTTGCAGTCAGTGGAAGCTGGCGCTGATCAAGGTGAGGGGATGCGTTCAGTCAACGATTCAGCCCTGGCGCTGTCTGTCGCTGATCTGCGCGCCGCTGAGGCACGGCTGGAGCAGCTCAAAAGGTGCTGCTTGTCGGTGCAAACCGCCGCGCGAGCTCGCGCTGGACGTCGAACGGCGGCTCGGTGCCGCGCGCAAAAAGCTGCTTGCACCCGCCTCCAGGCCGTGCATCGCCGGCGCGCCGCCGTTTCGAGGGCTGCAGGTGTGGCTCTTCAGCGTGCGGCGTATGAAGCCGCGCAGCAGGCACGTGCGGAGGCGGAGTCGCGGCTGGCGCAGAAAAGGGCGTCCGCTACCATGGCTCCAGTGGTGCAGGCGCGGGTCCGTGGCATCGCCGCACGCACGTGGCGCCGCCGTGAGACTGCGGCGGCCCTACTCCGGACCCGCCTCCGCGCGCTTCTGGCTCGCATCCGCTTCGTTCGTCTGGGCAGAGCAGTCCGCCTCATACAGGCGGCAAGCCGGTGCGCTGCTGCTCGCTGGGAGCTCGTACGAGCCGCCCGTCTCACCTATGAGCGGCGCCGGGAAGTCAACGAGCGCCAGCTCGCTGCGCTCGAGTCGCAGCTGCGCTGCTGCACATCCGAGGAGCAGGAGAGGGCGATCCACAAGAAACTCACAATGCGAGCCTACGAGCTGCGCCAGGTGCAAGTGCTGCTGCTCGGGGACACTGCTTCAAAGGTGCGCAAGGTGGGGGCGCCGCCACGGGCCGCTGCGGAGCCAGTGGCGGGTGCTGCCGCGGCGCTCGCTCTGGAAGAGACCCTCGCGGCGCTCGGGGACAAGCGCAAGGTGCGGGGCCTCGACGAGAGGACCCTCTCTCTTGCGCTCGAGGCGCTGAACCAGGCGCTGGCGGACCCAAGCTGCTCCGAGGCGGGCCGATTTGCGCTGCGCAAGAAGCAGCTCGCTGTGGCTGCCGTCCTCAAGCCCGCCGTCCAAGAGAGGGAGGCGCGTGAGCGCGCCAAGGCTGGTAGGGCGTCGCGCCGCCGCTCAGCAGTCTGCCTGCAGTCCACTGCAACCTCTCCGGCAACTTCTCCAAGGCGTTTGCTGACGCCGCAGCGAGCGGTGGCGCTCGCGCCAGCGGTCAGCCAAGGAGAAGCTGGCGGCAATGCTGCCGTCACGTCGCGCTACTATTCGCCCAAGGTTGCCAGCCGCGCTCGCAACTACATCGAGACGGGCGAGTGGAAGTTCACGTCAGAGCGGCGACGACTCGGTCCGATGAGTTCCGAGCGTCAGGCAACTGCACCTCTGCTCCGGCCCGGCCTCTACATCACGGAGTCTATAGTTGCTCGCCCGCGGCCGGTGGCGAACTCGTGCGAGGAGACGCGGTTCCTAGCGCCACCTCACGTGATCGTTGGCTCGCTGAGCGACCACTCCTCTCCGCGTCTCGGCGTGACGGCGCTGGTGGCCTCGCCCAGCCCCCATCGGCGCGTTCGGCAAGCAGCCCTGAGCTCAGGGAAGAGCCCCTGGACGCGGTCGCCGCTGCCACCAGCTGCCCGCTCGCTGCCCGCTCGCACGCCCGTCTTCGTGGCAGCACTGGGCAAGTAGAGGCCCTGACACGGCTAGTAAGTCCCCGACACGACACCCTGGACAGTCATCGGCCCGTGTGAGGTGCCCGTTGTCATTTATGTGGAAGGTGCAGTTCGAACACACCGCACGCGACGCGCGTGTCTTTTCATCCAAATCAGCGAGTCGACAGGAGGCGCACGTACGGCTTTATATTGCGTGTTCGTATCGAGCATGGTGTTCGAGACAGGGAGTTGGGCGCGCTTTCGCCATTACAGCCGGAAAAGACGGCTAGTGCAGTAGAGAGATTCGTTTATTTACTGTAGCCGCGCTAGGCGATTCCCCAGTCATCTGACCAAGGCGTGTGGGCCGAGGTAAGAAGCGCTGGGCTCAAGCGACGTCCGACTTCATTGCTTGTGCGGGCAGACGCAGCAGGCTTTGACGATGATGAGCAAGAGGAGCCAGGTGCAGAACGTAGCGAGCGCTACGGAAGCAATCACCTAGCCGAGGCAACGGGTTCCATGAGATACAGCCAGGTACGCGGAACCTGAGTTGCAGCGTGTGCGGGGGGCGCTATAAGAGGTTCCACCTCGCCGTATCCGCCCTGAAAGCCGAGGTCCCACAGCAACTCGGAGGAGAGGAAGACGAGCCAGGTCCAAAAGGTGGCGAAGCCCATCATGATGATCAGGCCGAACGGGCGGATGTTGCCCGCGGCGATACACCTCCCAAAGACGCCGCAATGGTGGTCAAAACCATAGACGCAACGGTTGCAGATCGAGCAATGGTGCACTTTCGTACCGGCTGGCCGCCATACCAAGCAGCGGCCGCAGAAGACGTGCTCGCCCACCTTGACGTTCCCCTGTATTTTGTTGACGCCCTTGCTCTCGCTGAGCGCTTCGATGATCGACTTGGGCTGCGGAAAGCAGCGTTCCGGCGATCTCTTCACGACACCAGGGTCGGACCACATGATAACGACCAGGCAGGCAAATGCGACGGAACAGCCCGTGTAGATGAGCACCGCGTATATCCACGTGCGTTCGTCGCCCGATAGGGTGACGGGCGCGCAAAACAGGACGATTAAGCCCGAGACGAGCACTTTGCCTCTCCGCGCCTCCTTCCGCATGTGGTCAAGGTGCTGCTTGGGGAGTGGAGGGAGCGCACGCACGTCCGCCCAGGTCGCCTTGCTCGCCTCGAGGTCTCGGCTGCTCGTCTCGACGACTGTCTTTCTCCCACCACAATGCTCGCAGTGGTCACAGTCCCGTGGCTGCGGCGGCGCTCTGGCGTGGCCGCCGCTGTTGGGTGTAGACTTCTCCTTGGACTCGCCCGCCCTTCCGAAAAACCAGGCCATGTCGTCATCGTCCACTTGGTTGGTGTCCATGCCGGCTCGGCTCGGGCGCACACAAAACACTCGCAGGGGATCGCGGTTGCTGGGGCTGGTTCGGACCAAGTTTGCCACGCGGTAAACTACAATTGTAGAAGATGCACAAAAGACAAGGGAATAAGAATACCAGGGATGCAAATGAGGGATGGGAAACGGCACGCCGCCGCCACACATCTGAAGGAAAGGAGTGTGCTACGCGCTTTCTGTAGTCTACGCGAGTAGACACGCAACGTCTGTCTCTTTTCTCCCAGCTAAAAGTACGGGCGGTAAGGCGCCTTGCCGGCGTCGCACCTGCAGCCACGACACCCACGGTTTGGAGCGAGCTTTCACCTCCGAGCCGCCGGAGGAGCCGCGCCGGCTATCGCCCCGTCGCCGCGGACGCCGCTTCGAGCCCTCCGCGCGACGCGAGTAAAGGGATGGCGCTCCTGCCACACCTTGCATGCGTCGCTGCAGCGAGCGGTGCTCTGGCTGCGTACCGCTTCTTGCTCATCTGGATGGGCTCCATATCCGAGTACACGGACTACACAGCCGCGCAGCTGGGTGTCGCTGTGGCCTACGGGCTCGCCATCGCCGCGTGGTTCGGCGTGGAGGTTGGGATGTTCCTCTCTCCACGCCTCGGCTACGGTGGCGTGCCGAGTAGTGAGGACGCGGGGCTCAAAGGGATAAAGGTGGCGAGCGAATCGGGCGGCGAGGACGCGTCCGTGCTCACGACGGAGGACGAGTCGAGCAGGGACTCGATCTCTCCACCCGAGCCGGTCGTATTTGGCATCAGATCCTCGGGCCTGGCCGCCCTGCGTGCCGCCGCCGAGTTTTCCGCAATCATGGGGTACGTCTACCTGTGCGACCGGACGACGCTGTTCGCCAAGGGGCCAAAGACGGTGTCGCCGACGATGTTCTGGGGCCTCTGCGCGGCCGTGCTCACCGTCGGACTCTGCACCCTCCGCCTCGCCGGCAAGAAGGGCGAGGTCGTGACGGCGCCGCTGCAGCGCGACCAGACAGAGGAGTGGAAGGGTTGGATGCAGCTGCAGTTCATCTTTTACCACTACTTTGCGGAGGGGGAGATCTACAACGCGATCCGCCTCTACATCGCCGCCTACGTCTGGATGACCGGCTTCGGCAACTTCTCCTATTACTACATCCGGAAGGACTTCACGCTGCCGCGCTTTATGCAGATGATGTGGAGGCTCAACTTCTTCGTGCGTACCAGCCCCGACCCGCGCGCTCGCCCGCCCCGCCCGCCTGCGCCCGCAGCCCTGTCTGTGCAGCCCGGCCGGCGCCGGCGCCGGCGGTCGAGGAGCCCTCGGCTGCGCGCAGGTTGCCTTCGTGTGTGTCACGATGAACAACGAGTACATGCTGTACTACATCGCTGCGATGCACACCTTCTTCACGTGGGGCGTCTTCTTCACGTGCTGGATCGGGTACCAGTACAACGACAACAACGCCGTCTGCCTCCTCAAGATCGCAGCCGCGACGGGAGTCACGTGCGCCCTCCGCCTCCCGCTTCCCACCCGCTTCCCACCCGCTTCCCACCCGCTTCCCACCCGCTTCCCACCCGCTTCCCTCTCCCGATCACTCCTCCCCTGCCCCCCGGCCCATCCCCCGCCCCCCTCGGCCCATCCCCCGCCCCTCTCGGCGCCGCCCGCGCAGGGTCCTGCTCTACGACGTGCCCGGCGTCTTCCACGCCGTCTTCAAGCCCACCGCCGGCCTGCTCGGCTTCCACGACCCTCTGCACCCAGAGCTCACCGGCGCACGCCGTCCAGGAGCTGCCTCGGAGCCAGCTCTACCCCTGCCGCGTAGGCACCCCGAGTTCACCGACTCGCTGCACGAGTGGTTCTTCCGCTCCGGCCTCGACCACTTCGTCTGGATCTTCGGCATGCTCTGCGCCTACTCCTTCCCGTGGTACGACCGCCAGCTGCAGGCGATCGAGGACATGCCTTCGGGCAAGCGGGCCCTCGCCAAGGCGGCGGTCATCGGTGGCGCCCTCGCCGTCGGCGGCTGGTACGTGCACACCTACTTCCTCCGCCCGAAGCGCGAGTACAACAAGGTGCACCCGTACACGTCATGGATCCCGATCGCCGTCTTCCTCGTGCTGCGCAACGCGACCGCGAGCCTGCGCGCCCGGTACATGCACCTCTTCACCTGGTGCGGCAAGGTGACGCTCGAGACGTACATCCTGCAGTTCCACATCTGGATGAAGTCGACCGGCATCAACGGCTCGCCTAAGTTCCTCATGGTCTGGCTGCCCTCCTTTTGGCTCAACATGGCCGTCGTCTCGGCCGTCTACTTCGTGCTCTCGTACCGCGTCTTCAAGATCACCGTCGTGCTGCGCGACGTCGCCGTCCCGAAGGACAACCGCGGCATCTTCGTCAACAGCGTCATCATGGCGGTTGCGACGGCCGCCTTCTACGCGGTGGGCGTGGCGCTAAAGGGCTAGCCCAACAACTCGCAGGGCGGGCCGAGCGGCGCCACAGGCTGCCCTCGCACGTGTGCTGGCGAGCGCGATGTCGAACGCCTCGCGAAGCGGAGAGTTGAGCCACCACGCGCCCCCCAGACGGCACTCGTCACACGTCAGAGAGGCAGGATAGAGGGTGTGTGGAGGGCGGTCAAGTGACGGAAAAGCGGGGACGCGACCCACCTCGCCACAGACGCGGTCCCGCGCCTCTCGCCGCTAAGTCTAACTCTAAGACCACAGTGGCAGTGGCACGCACCGCGCAGCGGCGCGTGCCACTGTTTTTGTCCGGAGTGAATACTCCAACGCGCTCGTCGGTGACGGTGTCCCCGCCGCGCCCCGGATAGCGGATTTCGCCGCGCTCGGCGAACCTCGACCCAGGCCCAGCGCCTTCGGTGGCATGCACCTCTTTGCGACTGTGAAGCCTGGAGGCTGGAGGGAGCAGCTCCTCTGCTGCTCACACGCTCTGCACAGTTGGCACAGCCTACTGTGCGCTGCCACAGCTGTGACGGCGATGGGCTCGCCCTCACTGGCCCTCAGTCACTTGTGCTGCCGCTTGTGTGAGCGACAGCCGACACTGCTCGGTGACTGCGGGCACACTGTGAGACCACGGGTGTGAGGTAAAACCACGCTACCAACGCTTGGTCACATCAGCCCTGAGGTCAGATCCTTCTACGCTGTTGATGACACGACTTGTCTACTGGCTGGAGCCTGGAGCCGAGCAGGACAGCAGGAGGGCCCGGCGGGCGGGCGCATAACCCCCCTGGTCAACTCTTCTCAGAGTCTGCAGTCTCTCACGCGTCTCAGCCTCTCACCCAGCCTCGCCACACCCCGTACGGCAAGCCTTTGGGGGAGAGAGGAGGTGAGTTTGTCGTGCCGTCGTCGAAACCAAAATCATCAACAAAATCATTCACGTCATGCACATGCCCCTCTCTCTCTTCTCTCTCTCTCTCTCTCTCTCGCTCCACCAGCCTCGCCCTTCACGCCGCACGTGGGTCGTCACGTGCGCGCGAGCAGGGGCGTCCAGATCGTCACCAGGCGAACGCCTCACGCTCGGATGTTCTGGACGTCGGCACGGCCGCACGCCCCCACGCCTCAGCTCGAGTCCTCCTCATCCTCCTTGATCGAGGAGCGGGACGAGCGCGGGACGAGCCGCGCCAAGTTGTTTTCGCTCATTCGGCGCGGCGGCTCGCCGACGGTGCAAAAGCCAGTGCTCTCGCCGCCGCCGGCCGGCCCGGGCGCGGCGGCGGCTCGCCGCCCGCCCGCCGCCGCCTCGCGCTCGCCGCCTCCCGCCGCCGCGCCGTCCTGCGCCGCCCCGCCGCTCACCGCGACTCGCCGCACCGCGCGCCGCACCGCCTCGTCGAGCAGCCGGCCGTAGTACTCGTAGAAGGTCTCCTCGGCGGCGGAGCCGTCGAAGGCGATGTGCCCGTCCAGGAGACTCGACGCGCCGCCGCACGCTCCCGCGGCTGCGGGGCCGGTGCCACCGGTCGCGCCGCACGATGCGGACGGCGAGGAGGCGGTGGCGGAGCCGATGGCGCGCTCCGACGAGACGCGGTGGAGTAGCGTCGGCAGCGAGCTACGGCGCGTGGGCGGCAACCCCTCGTCCATCGCCGCCGTCGAGTCCCGCGCGCCGGCGAGGCCGCGGCCCGCCTCCTCGGGCGAGTCGGCGCCCCACGCCTGCTGCCGCGGCTCGGCACCCCCCGCGCGGCTGCCGGCTGCCAAACCCATGGACGGCGAGCACGCCGCCGGCAGCGCGCCTCCGCGCGGCGACGCCGGGGCCGATCCGCGCGCGTCGAGCGAGGAGAGGTCCTCCGCAGACAGCGAGCGGTCGGGCCTCGCGCCGAAGCCGACCGCCTGCCGCTGCTTTGGCTGCTTGAGGTCGGGGGAGTAGATCGCGCCGTCGGCGTGCGAGCGCAGCCGCGGGTTGGAGAGGGCATACGCCTGTTCGTAGCTCGCGTGTCTCACACGCCTCTCCTCTGGCAGCCGCGGCTTGGAGAGCGCGTGCGCCGTCAGCCGCTCGGCCTGCGCAATCAGCCGCTCGAGCTCGGACGGCGCGTCGTCGTCCGGCCGGCAGAGGAGGAGGGCGGCGTCGAGGAGGGAGAGGCCGGCGGCGACGGTCGCCTGCACGAGGAGCGTGGCGCAGCACGAGGCGCGGATCGCCGCGGGCGGCACGCCGTACTCTGCGAGCAGCTTCGCCTGACGCGCGCAACAATCGAGGGTGGCGCCCGGAGGGAGAGGGGGAGAGCGGGAGCGCTGCGCTCGCCTCCGAAGGTGGGTCGAGCCGCGCAACGTACGCGCGCGTCTCTGCGTCGGGCGGGACGCTCATCTGCGGCCACGAGAGCCAGCACCAGTCGAACCACGAGATGGCGGCGGACGAGGGCAGGCAGCCGCCGTGGTCGATCGGCACCAGCTCGCACTCCCGAGCCTGCCCGGACGGCCCGGACGGCCCGGATGGCGCGGACGGCGCCGCGGCGGCTGGCGCGGACGGCGGCACGTCGGCGGGCGGCGCCGCCGGCCGGAAGCGAGTCGTCTCGAAGAGTGACTCGGCGGCGGCGCCGAAGGAGTCGCGCCGCTCGTGCGACGGCGGCGGGAGCGCGAGTGGGGGCGGGCCGCCGCACGCCCCGCCCGCGCAGCTGCCTTGCGGCGGCGTCGCGCACAAGTCGATTGGCGACGACTGCGCCTCGAGCATGGGAATCGACGCGGCGGACAGCGGCGCGTCGGCGGCGGCGCACTCCGTCTCGCCCGGCGCCAGCGCCGGCACGCCGCACGAGCGGCGCGACTCGCTCGACGAGGAGGAGCAGGAGGCGAGCGAGGGGGTGCGGTGCGCCGCCGCGTCCCGCACCAGCATGTCCCGCACCAGGATGTTCGAGTCGTTCCGGTCCGTGTTGAGGAGGCGCATGTCGAGCAGCGCGATCTTGTGCACCTACGGCCCGCGCCCCGCTCCATCCACAGGCCGAAGCAGGCAAATTGGGGAGCGCGGGCCCTCTCCATATATCTCTCTCGGTGTCGCCTCTCGCGTCGGGAAGGTAGCTGCGCCGCGGTTGGCCGCAACGTCGTCATGCGGAACCCAGAGCTGCAGCGACCCGACCTTGGCCCTGCGCGAAGGGGGGGGTGATGGCTCGGCGGCGGTGCACGCGCGCCGCGGGAAGGGTGGCGCGCTGGCGCTGCGGCCGAGGCGAGAGCAGGGCAGTGGAGGGTGGGAGGGTGAGGGGGAGGGGCTGGGAGGTTTGGAAGAGGGGGGGGAGGGTTGGGGGGTAGCGCACCCGTAGCGCGACAGAGCCACGTGCGAATGGACGTAGAAGGCCGGATGGACAGCCTCGGCCTGCGGCGGTCGAGTGCAGGGGTGAGCAGCAGCGCCGGGCGCGGAGCAGGCGCGGGCGCGGAGACGGCGCGCTCCTGCAGCGTGAGCGGCACAGAGGCGAAGTGGCCGTGGTCGAGGCGGTGCGCGAGCACTTCGCGCACATGGGCCTCCCCCGACGCGATGGAGCCGTGGATGCCCGGCTGCCCCAGCTTGCCGGGCAGCCCGCGCGGGTTGTTTGGAGCGAAGGCCTCCTCGTCGCGCGGCTTGAAGGCGGCGAGCGGCGCGCGAGAGGCGTCGCGCAGGACGTAGGTGCCGCCCGTGCCGTCCCACGCGAGCTGCGGCGCGAAGCCCATCGCGAGCCCCTGCTGGCACTTGGAGAGCAACTTCGTCAGCGGCACCGGCATCTCCGCATCCTCGGCCTATCAAGAGGCCGCTGCCAAAGGTGAGGCGAGGGAACTCTGCGGCGACGGCCCCGGCCGCCTCGGCTCGCCTGGCCGCCCCACGCCTGGAGGTAGCAGCCGGTGGCAAAGTCGCTCGGGTTCTGCGCGCGCATCGTCAGGCTCACCACGCGCGAGCGCGACGATGACGACGAACTCGAGTTGCGCGAGGAGGAGGGCAGCAGGTCAATCATCCGCGCCAAATTGGGCAGCTCTCTCGGGCCGTGGAAGAGGCGGATGAAGCCGACGGGGACGCCGCACGCATCGCGCAGGCGCTGCTTCACGTCGATCGCCGAGCACCACGCCCGCACCCGCAGCCGGTGAGCGCCCGGCTGGACGAGCAGGCGGATGTGAGACGTCGCCTTGTGCCGCGCTGAGCGGGAGTAGGCATTGTCGGCCGAGCGCTCCTCCACACGTCGCGCGCCGCGGGCCTGCATCCGGGCGGGCGCCCGCGCCTTGGTCCAACCAAAGCCGGAGCGAGGCGCCACAGAGCTGTGCTGGAAGGTGTGCGCCGCTAGTCCAAAATCTAGACGCCTCCTGCGTGGTGTGTGGATCGTCGTGAAGTGCAGCGACGAGCCTCCGCCGACTAAGTTTGCGTCCTTGGCCTTCACCGAGGTTTTGCCGGCGGAGCTCATCAGGGAGGCCAAAAGAAAGAAAAGTGGGGGCTGTGTGTGAGTGAACCTGTGAGTGAGCTGTCTGTCTTATTCAGAGTACAGAGAGATTTTTGAAAACCAAGAACCAACAAGAAATCACGACTACCACAGTGATTTGGGCTCGGCAGCTTGTTAGCCCTCAGCCGAAGCTGGGGCCGGTCCCGTAGCCGAGAGAGCCCGCGCCGATGAGTTCGACGCGGTCGGGGGGCCTGTTTCAGTGTGTGTGACTGTCTGTAGTCTGTCTGCGTGAGAGAGAGAGAGAGTGAGTTGAGTGAGTGACCGTGAGTGAGGATCCCCTCCAGGCGCCGCCGCGCGCCACGATACCCAAGACGCAAGAGCCGACCGATGTTTGACACTGTTGGCATGCTTTTACAAGTCATGTGCGTGCGCTTAGGCAGGAATATGTCAGTCAGGCATTCTTTGGCGGCTCCGCAAGCCCGTCGTCCGGCGCGGGGAGCAGGTCCAGGAGCTCTGCGAGGTCGGCCTCGAGCGCGACGCAGTAGTGGGCGAGCGGGAGGTCGTTCTCGTCGTCACCAAAGGGCACCTAGTGTAGTAGCAAGCCGCTCATCGAAAAGCGCGCGCTTAACCGACGCCAGGCTACAAAGCACCTCGAGCTGGACGGCCACGTCCTCGATGCCGAGCAGGATCAGCGAGGTGAGCAGGCAGACGGGCACCTCCACCAGGCCGAGCTCCGCCACGATGAAGGGGAGCAGGACGAGGAAGGCGAGCAGGGCGGAGCGGAGGATCGCGACGTAGCCCGGCGGGGTGGGCGTGCTGGTCAGCCGCTCGCAGCCCGACAGCGTGCCGAACAGCTCCTCGTCGCGAGCCCCGACGAGCAGCTCCGACGCGAGAAGAGCCGACGCCGAGCCGGCAGGCCCGGCTCCGCCGCCGCCGCAGCCGCGGAGCAGGCGCGAGGCGGAGCCGCGGAGCCGGCAGAGCACGCGCAGCGGCACGTTGCGCCCTGCCGCCCGTGCCGCCTCGAGCTCGTCGACGGCGCGCGCGCCGAGGAGCCGCTCGAGGGCGTCGCGGAGCTGCTGCACCGCGGGCGTCGCCTCCGCCGGGTCGTCGTCGTGCAGCCGGCCTCGCAGGTAGTAGGCGAAGGCGACGCACCAGCCGGCCACCTCGCGCGCGCGCTCCTGCGTCGCCCTCGCCTCCTCGCCTCCGCATCCGTCCGACTGGGCGGCGAGCGTGGCGGAGACGGCCGTGCTGACGATCGAGCGCGAGCTCTCGACGAGCTTGCCCCAGAGTGTGCGGCCCTCGAGCCAGCGCGTGTAGCTGATGTTGAGCCGGAACGCCAGCAGCAGCGCGAGGGGTGTGCCGACGCCGAGCGAGATGTCCGCAGCGACGTCGAGGGTTGCGTATCCGTACTCCGCTCCGAGAAAGGTGACGAGGAGGGAGAGGACCGTCACGCAGGCCAGTGGCTGGTACAGGAAGGGGCGGGAGAGGCGGATCAAACTCAGCCCCGGGAGCCAATGCCGAGCCGTGGCGTGCCCACTCCACTTGTCGAGAGACCCCGCAGCACACCGTCGCTGCTGGAGCGGTATATCTTCCGACTCCCCTGCCCCGCGGAGGAGTGGAGCCGCGCCCCTGATTTCCGTCGACGTCGGCGATGTGGGGCCTTCGTTCAAGGCGCGCATGTGCCTAGTGCGAAGGGCCCAGCGACCCCAACTCCAGAAGCCTGATCGCGAAAACCTCGGGAAAACGCGGCGCTGTTCACACAAAAACACAAGCTACACAGTCGAGAAAGGGATAGACCGCCACGACAGTGCGCTGTTCACGTAAACGCACAACCCCGGGCCCGAAATCGCACAGAGTCACGCAACACGGGGTCCCAGGGAAGGCGAGCAAAAACCTTATCGCGCGCGCTAGACGCCGACTGTTCACAAACAAAAACAACTCTCTCTCATATTGCTAAAAATCTCTCTCTCTCTCTCTGTTCACAGGTGTAACGTGCCTATATGGGCTTCCAGTATCGGACCTTCAAGACATGCGCTTTTGGCCGGTAGCCTTTTCGGACAACAGGCCTTGTTATTGAGAAGAAAAATACGCCATGTGCGCTGGTCCTGTTTTTCCCACTGGTATTGACAAGAAAATACGTGCTATGGCGCTGCGCGCTGGTCGATGACAAAGGCACAGCCTAGTGTCGTGTGAGATGGATTGCGGCCATCTGAAATTCTTTTCCTGTGTTAGTGCCAGTGCGCGCCAGTCTCCAGTGCCCAGTGTAAAGAAAGAAAACAGACAACCCAAACGAGGGATGGGGGAGGGACAGGGTCCACACCTGCACGAGCAGGATTTTGGAAGGACGAGCAGGGGCGCAGGTGGGGCTCTGGTGGGGCTCTCCTGCTCCTGACAAGGGACACGACAGGCTCGCAGCGCGGTGCACGGTGTGGACTCCCAACTCCACTGGCGGTCTCATCTCTCTGGGAGGATGCGATGAGGTGAATGAAGTCAAGCTCTGGACGCCCTCCTCAAGACCTCCTCGGCGGGCGTTGGTAACGCCTCGAGCGGCGGCACGCCCGCCTCCGTTGGCCACTCCTACGCCTTCGGCAACACCGAAGAGAAGGCCCGCCGCCTAAACATGGGCTGCAAGGCGCGCGGGCAGCCCGGCCAACCCTTCGACCACAAGACCGGCCACGGCTACGTCAAGGCGCATCGCGGTTTCTACCACGACGCGATCTTTGTCAAGCGCAACAACTTCAACCTGCTGCTCCACGAGACGTTCGGCGGCGGCTTCTCGCCCACCGCCGTTCTCAAGCTGCGCCGCCTCGCGCGCAAAGTCGCGCGCGGCAGCGTTGACCGCACAGCCTACTCGCCCAAGTACTCGCTCTCTTTTATGTCCCACCATGCAGAGCGCATCTCTCTCTCTGTTGTGCGAGGCGTGAACCGCGCCATTCGCTCTCACCTGGCAACCCTGTCTGCACGTCTCGCGCGCGCGTGAACAGGGCCGGCACGCCGCCACCACACAGGGCTTTTAGAGCGCGTGAACAGGGCGTCTCCTTGCACAGCGTCCAGGAGGCCGCCCCGTCGGTGGACTCGTAGACGCCGCTGTGCGTGCCGGCAAACACGTGACTTCCCGTGGGGGCATCGGGGTGGAGCCAGACGCCGAGGATGCGCGTGTCCCACAGCCCCTTGCTGTTGCGCGTCCAGTGCTTGCCTCCGTCGACGCTCTTGATGATGCCGCTCGACACACCGTTGTTCTGTCCGCCCGCGTAGATGAGGTCTGGGTTTTTAGCCGGCGATGCCGCGCACGCGAGCGTGCCCGCCTCGCCCTTGCCGTTTTGGTCATCAAAGATGTTCCAAGGACCGATGCGTGCCCAATCGGCTCCGGCGGCGAAGGCGCCGACCGGGAGGAGGACAATCTTAAGCATTGCCGGAAGAGACCCAGGGAGGAGCAGCGTGAGCAAGACCGAGCACTGACTTCTGACTGTCGTTGCGTCCCTTCCCTTGTGCGTCTCGGGCCGTGGTTGTGTTTTTGAGAGCGCGGTGAACAGGGCCCCGGGGTGCGCGGTCGCACTTCGGGGGATTTCTTCTTTTTCTCGGGAAGGGAGGTCGGTTGTCTCTGACCCGCGCAGGTTGTCTCTGTTGGGCCTCCCCCGCAACGAGCGTGCGATGCTGCATCACTGCGCCACGAGGCGCAGCAACCTCGACCCGGGTGTTGCTCGAGTCCGCAACGCCCACGGGGCGAATGCGATTGCCTGGCCCTATCGCCAAGCGGCTCTGCTCCTCCTCTTGTCTGGCAGCAATCGCACGCTGCGGCACAATCCGCGTTGGCGCCGAGGAGGCGGCAAGCCTCAACGCGCCTACCCGTGGCATACCGCCGGATCGGGCCAAGACTAAGGCTGCAGGCGTCGGCCCCGGCTGCTGCGAGGGCCCTCCCGTTGAGGTGTCCATCTTATTTATGTGCAGTGGGGCTAACACTGTAGCGCGTCGGCAGGATGCCCAAAACCGTCGTAAACCCCCCAAAATTGAAGTCGACCGCCCAAAGCTGTCCCCCCCCCGCAAACTTTAAACCTCCATAAACATCATTTTGCAGGGGCTCCAGGCCCCAAATGACGTGTGAGTGTTAGAGTTGTTGTGCTCATCTCAGTCTAGCGACCTGCCTCCAGCTTCTCACTGGCAGTCTCTCGCTACCACAGGCACACTGACAGGGGTGGCAGGGGCGGCGGCAGGAGTCTCCCACATACATCATACTTATGCGGGCCTCGCTAGAGGTGCGTCCTGAGAGAGATTTTTAGCAATACCAAACAACTCTAACACTCACACGTAATTTGGGGCCTGGAGCCCTGTTCACGCGCGCGCGAGACGTGCAGACAGGGTTGCCAGGTGAGAGCGAATGGCGCGGTTCACGCCTCGCACAACAGAGAGAGAGATGCGCTCTGCATGGTGGGACATAAAAGAGAGCGAGTACTTGGGCGAGTAGGCCGTGCGGTCAACGCTGCCGCGCGCGACTTTGCGCGCGAGGCGGCGCAGCTTGAGAACGGCGGTGGGCGAGAAGCCGCCGCCGAACGTCTCGTGGAGCAGCAGGTTGAAGTTGTTGCGCTTGACAAAGATCGCGTCGTGGTAGAAACCGCGATGCGCCTTGACGTAGCCGTGGCCGGTCTTGTGGTCGAAGGGTTGGCCGGGCTGCCCGCGCGCCTTGCAGCCCATGTTTAGCGTCCTGTGTGTGTCCTCATCCTTGAGGTCTTGAGGGGGGAGCGGAAGGGGCTGTGTGTCTGTGCATGCATGCATGCATGTGTGTGTGTGCGCGCGCGCGCGTGTGTGTGTGTGTGTGTGTCACCTCCACCCAAAAGCGGAGGTACATCATGAGGAGGTGCAGCCGGCTGCTCGCCGAAGATTCTTTTCCTCGCCGCAGTGGCTGGACAGCCGCCGCACAGCCCGGTGCGAACGCTCCTGTCGCTCCATGCTCAAGCTCCAGCCCGCTTCGCTCGCTGTCGGCGTCGTATTCGGCCTCATCGCCTCGCTCGTCCTCCGGCCGGAGGGCAGCGTGCCCAGTCGTGAGTGCCAGTCGGTGCGTGAGCGGGAAGCGCGGCTGAAGCGCCTCGAGATCGAGGTCACGGCGCTGCGCGATAAGCGAGCCGCGCCGTGCGAGCCGTGCGCTCCGGCGGCCGCCGGTGCGCTCTCCGTCACCGTTGGAGCTGCACGAGCGCCGCCGCCGCCGCTGTCAGCGGGCGCGACGCATCACCGTTGGTACTGGACTGATCTCGTCCTCAATTCGCTGCGGCCGTTCGCGAAGCTCAACGGCGGCATCACGCGGTCGGGCCTGCGGCTGGCGGAGCAGAAGTGCAAGATCTCCACCTGGTGCCACCGCGCGCAGGTCATCGGAGGCCGCCTGTACATCACAGACATCCGCGCCATCTTCTTTGACCGAAACTACGCGATGGCGCGGGTGATGCCGCTGCTGCTGACGCTCAAGGCGTGGCCGAACCTCCCTGACCTCGACGCCGTCTTCTCGGGCACCGACTACCCAATCATGGAGATCCCGCGCGACGCCGCGCACATGATGCGCATGTATGGCGCGAGGCTACCCGCCCTGCCCGCCCTTTCGCCGAACCTTCTCGGAACCGTCTCGGAGCCTTCCTGCAGGCGCGAGGCAAGCGATCCCTCCCGTCTTTTCGCCCACTGCAAACAGCCTCACGCACGACCTGCCGTGGCCGGACTTCTCCTTCTTCCCGCCACGCAGCCGGTGCGGCAAGGCGCGCGCTCGCCGCCCGCCGCCGCCCCGCGCTACGCCGCCCGCCGCCGCCCCGCTCGCCCGCCGGCTGTTGCGTGCCGCCCGCGGAGGGCTGTGAGCGTCACCGTGCTGAGTCAGGCGTGCACCCACCCGCTCAAGACGCCTCGCTGGCAAGAGTCGCACCCGAACCTGGCGGCCATGGGCAAGGAGGTGGGCGGGGGGGCGCGAGAGGGCGGCCCCGGCTTGCACCGCCATCCCGCAGCACCTCGTTCCGGCGGTAGGTGGGGTGGGACGCGAAGATCGACCGCGCTGTCTTCACGGGCCACGCCCAAGCCCTCGGCCAGCGGGTGGGCTGTGAACGGCGCCTCTTGACGGAAACGCCGCGCTTGCGAGTAGGCAACATGAAGACCTCGCCCAACCGGCGAGCGATCTACCACTACGCGGAGCAGTTCCCGGAGCTGCTCATGGTGAACGAGGTCTACATCAAGACGACGCCGCCCTCGTGCTTCGAGGTGCGCGGCGCCGGCCGCGGGGCAGCCTTCTTCTTCTCCCCCTTCTCACGCCCCCTGCCCTCGCCCCGCCGTCGCAAGGTCGGCGAGCCGAACGTGACGCGCGGCGGCGTGCTGCAAAACAAGTGCGGCTTCTCATTCAAGGAGATGTGCCGCTACCGCTACCTGCTCAACGTCGGATCGAACGGGTACGCAAACAAGCTCAAGTGCGCTGCTGCTGCTCACGGCTCCTCTCCTACCTGCTCCCCTGCTGCCCCCCCCCTCACCGCTGCTCCCCTCACCGCTGCTCCCCTCACCGCTGCTCCCACCAACGCAGCCGAGAGCAGCAGCGCGCGGCAGGCGGCGGGTGACTCTCGCCCTAGGTACCTGTTTCTCTGCGGCTCGGTCGTCATTTGGGTGCGCCGGCGGCGACCGCTGCGGCGTGCGCCCTTCGCCGCGTCGGCGCACCGCTCCTCTGCGCCGCAGGTGCGGACGGACTC